CAGCAACAGAAACCACAAACTAAGACAGAAGTTGGTATCAGAGACTGGTGTATTGTTTTTGTTTGGAGTAATATGGATTTTGGTGCTGTGGGTTAGGAAAGCAGTGCGGTATTTTAAGCACTGCTTAATGGGCCATATTAGTAGGAACATAGAAGACAATGGTGCTGATTTGAAATGTTGGAGGCTGGCTCAAGAGGTTTCAGAGAAGAATTTTAGTATGCTTCCTAGAAATCATTCTTGTGATATTTTGGTAGAGGAAGTGGCTGCCTTTTGCCCTCATTTGAAGAGTCTGTCTGAAGCTAAAGTGAAGAGTTTTGGGTTAATTACATTGGCAGAAGAGATCTTGAAACAGTTCAGTACAGACTTTGTTGTGTAGACATTAGTGGTAGTGCTAATGAAGATATATAATGAAAGGAGCAAGCTGAGCAAGGAAAAATATTTGAGGAGAAACAGGGCAACAAAAAGTAGAATGGTGTTAAATTCTCTCTTCAAGGAGATAAATGGAATAAAGGGAGTGGTGACTTCAGGGCAAGATCCCACCTAGCTTATAGAAAGGAAATTTTAAAAACAGTTTAGAGCTGGGTATGGTAGTATACTCCTTTACCAGTTACAGAAGTTGCCTCCATGCTTTAGGACAGTGGCTGAGATCAGGAATGTGTCAGGGATGTCCCTAAATGGAGGCCTAGTAGAGAGGCCATTATGTGAAGCTATGATGTTACAGCCTGGATTGTCTTTGGAGATGCTAGAGTCCTGGGATACCTGCCGAGGATAGCTGCTAACAGGAAGTGGAACCAGCCCAAAAGAAAGAAGTGTGTTGCAGTCAACAAAGCTGAATGGAATTGGAGATGTGGAGAGCGTTTTGACATCACACATGGAGACGCAGAGTTTGGAGTTTGCCCAGCTGTTTTTGGTCTTGCTTTTTGGTCCAGCATTTCCTCATTATGCTCCCTTCCCTATATTTCAGAATGGTAATATATATCCTTTACCATTATACAATGGAAGTATGTGATCTGCATTTTTATTTGATTTTACAAGGGATTGTAGTTAGGAGATTACATGAATCTCAGAAGAGACTTTGTACTTTTAAACATTGTTGAGACTGTGATAGACTATGGGGATTTTTGAAGTACTGAATACATTTTGCACTATGATACCGTTAAAGGTTTATAGGGGCCAGGGAGTGAAATGTGGTGGTTTGAATGTATTTGGTCCCCATAAGCTCATAGATTGTGGCTTTGTTGGAGTGGGTATGTGTCATGGGGGAGAGGGGGATTTGGAGATTTCCTACGCTCAGGACACAGATCAGTGAGTTAGGCAACTTCCTGCTGTCTTCTGGTCCAGATGAAGCCAGCTCCATGTCTGCCTGAACACTGCCATGATCCCTGTCATGATGATAAAGGACTGAACCTCTGAACTATTAGCCAACACCTCAATGAAATGTTTTCTGTGTAAGAGTTGCCGTGGTCATGGTGTCTCTTCACAGCAATAGAAACTCTAAGACACCTCTTTTCTCAAGTTCTTTCTCATGAAGAAAACTATAACATCTGAGAAAAATTACTTTTCAGCTCTAAATTGTAAAGTTATGTAACACTATTACTAGTACTACTACCACTACTACTAATTAATTTAACTGTAGCTTTATATTCATATATTATATGTGTATAATATTTACAATTTACCAAGCTTACCATTTTAAGTGTAGAGTTCATTTAGAGTAAGTACATTCACGTCATTATACAATCACCTTCATTATAAAATAAATTTAAATTATCTAATAAAGTACTACCTCCTCAGCCTTTGCTTAAAAATTATGAGACTTTGAAACTATGTCAGCCAAGTTTAAACTTACGAATAGATGGATCAGACATCACGACCATGACGTAAGTGTTGGATGTGAATATGTCAATGAAAGCAGCAAAGTTAGAGTTCCTCACTTCCATACTCTGGAAAGAGGCAGCCAGCTTGCTATGGAACAAACGAAAATGGTGGTTAAAGAAAAGACTAAAATAAGTTATTTATTATATTAGAAATTGTTATAGTACTGTATCTCAATTCACCACTTTTTAAGTTTCCAAGAAAACTATACTGATGAACTTAACATGCTTAGAGGGTGAATGGACTGGGAAATAGGATATGAGTTGATATAGACTAAAAATTGAAAATGGGCTTAAATCTAGACATATATTAAAACGTTACCAAATTTCTGTAATAGTTCTCATAATTAGCATACAAAGTAATAGGTTTCATTATGGCATTTTATACACACATTCTCTCTCTCACTTTGTTGATATTTGCAGCCCCCATTCTTCTCAAACCCTCTCCCATTACTCTAAAACCCTTTACTGCTAGTTTCTTTTCCTTACCATCCCAAAACTGTGTACCTATCTGTTTTCATGTCACATGCACCATATTTCCCCCTCTTCTCTCTAATCCAATTTAAGATACATTCCTACTCTCAAGGTCCCAGTTCTTATTTTTAAGACATGCACACAGAGATACAAATTCAAATGTAGATTTCTCATGAGGGAAAACATGGTATTTGTTTAAGTAGCCTATTTCATTTAACATAGTATTACCAGTTCCATTTATTTTCCTACAAATGTCATAATTTTCCTTTCCCCAATAATGAATAATATTTCATACTGTATATACAAAAAAAATTTCTTTATCCGTGAATCTGTTGATGGGTACCTAAAGCTGGATCTTTTTTGAAGATACCGTTAATAGATCAGCAATAACATAGATGGTCAAGTATCTCTGTAGAAATTGAGTCCTTTGAGTATATATCAGGAGTGTTTTAGCTGAGTCATATAGTAGCTCTACTGTTAGTTTTTTATTAAATTTACATGCTGGTTTCATAGTGGCTACATAAGTTTATACCTTATGCAGTATACAATGACTCATTCCTCCACCTGATATGCTTCAGAATTTGCTATCTTTGTTTCTGAAAGAAAGCCAGACTGATTGGGCTGAGATATGATATTGAAGTTTTACCAAGCATTTCCCCTCATGGTTAAGGATGTTAAACATTTATCCAAACAATTATTGGCCTACACATTTTTTTCCTGATATCTAATTCACTTGCCATTTATTGTTTGGAAGACTTTGCTATGTAGAGGCTTTTTAATTTCATGTAATCCCACTTGAAAATTCTTGGAATTATTTCTTGACCACCTGAAGTTGTTTAGAGAAAGTTCTTGCCTATATCTTGAAGTATTTTGCATACATTTTTATCTAGCTTTTTTTAGAACTTCAAGACTCAGAATAGTCTTTGATTTTTTTTTTTTTTTTTTTTTTTTTTTTTTTTTTGCAGGGCAGGAGATAGGGGTCTAGTTTCATTCTTCTACATGTGAATATCCAGATGGTTTTTCCCAGAACCAACTGTGGAATAATACTTCTGACATCTTTGCCAAAGTTAGAGGCTTATAATAGTAGTATGGGTTTATTTCTGGATTGTCTATACTGTTCTATTAATCTACACATCTCTTTTGCTTATGTGTATTACTAAACATAAAAATCCAACCTGGTTAGTATATATAACGACTACTGCTATTTAATGTTGATTTAATATCTTGTTAATTTGTTGGATGTGTTGATTAAAGAATTATCCAGTTGAAGACATTATTTGCAAACAGAGTTAATTCTATTTCTTTCTTTCCTACATTCCTCTAATTTCTTTCTTTTTTTTTCAGTGTTCTGCCTTTGGTTTTGAGGATTATACTGAATCCAATGGAGGGGGAAGGCACTATTTCTAATTCCTGATTTTAGAGGAAATGCCTCAATTTTTCCTTGTTTGGTATAATGTTGGCTATAGGTTTAAGATGCATAGCCTTTATTAGGTTTATATATTTTTCTTTTTGTGTTTTGAGACAGGGTTTTTCTGTATAATAGTCCTAGCAGTCCTGGGACTCACTCTGCCTCAAACTCAAAGAGATCCACCTGCTTTTGCCTCTCAAGTGCTGGGATTAAAGGCATGTAGTATGACCACCTGGCAAAATACATTATTTTTATTTCTAGTTTTTTCAGGCATTTATCATGAGAAATTGTTAAACTTTGTCAAAAGCCTTTCCTGTATCAACTAATATAATTGTGAGTTCTGTTCCTATGTTCATTTATGTATTGTATTACACTTACTGAATAACAAATATTGAACCAACCAATCTGTGAGACAAAAGTAACTTGGTCACGGTATATAATCTTTTTTTTTTTTTGTAGATTCATATGTTGTTTTATTTTTTATTTTTTAGTTTTATTTTTATTTTTTAGTAAGTTCACACTGTTGCAAAATTAAAATCAAGTTTAGAACATGTGGTAACTCTCAAAGGAAATCCAGACCCTATTAATGATCACAGCTGATTCATTCCCCCTTCCCATCACCCCTTAACAGCTGCTCATCTTTCTCTACTGGCAGTGAAGATTTGTCTTTTGGGGATGTAATTATAAAAATTTCCTCTGGACTTTCAACTATATTCCACTTACTAAACTCTATACTTAACCAGTACCACATTAGCTTCATGACTGGATATATATGTGTGTGTATATAGTTTGAAGTCAAGATATAAAAATAATTTAACTTTCTTTTTCCTTTGTAAAGATTGTCTGCTTTATAGCCACTGAAAATTTACATATATTTTAGAATCTGATTGTCCATTTCCTCACAAAAGGTTGATATTTTTTTCTTATTTTACATATTGATCTCAGTTCTCTTTCCCTCCCTCCCTCCCATGTCCCCCAACCACCCTCCCATCCCACCCATCCCCACTCCACAGGGAGGGTGATGCCTTCCAGGAGGGGTCAACAAAATCTGTCAAGTCATTTGAAGTAGGGACTAGGCCCTCCCTCCTGCCTCTAGGTTAAGGGAATGAGCTCCCAAAGTCCTTTCATGCACCAGGGATACATCCTGGTTCTACTGTCAGAGGTCCTTTAGACTGCCCAGGCCTTCTAACTGAGACCCATGTTAGGGGGTCTGAGATGGTCCAATGCTGGTTTCCCAGCTATCAGTCTGGGGTCCATTAGCTCCCCCTTGTTCAGGTCAGCTGTCTCTGTGGTATATTATCTTAGTGTGTTCTATAATTTACTTGAAAAGTATATATGTATACATACATACATACATATATTCAGAAACTGTTCATTGTTTCTGAATCTATGTTCACCAGGAAATTTGGTCTAGGTTATTTTTGGCATGCCCTATCAGGTTATGGTAACAGCATAATTTTTTTCATAGATTTGGTGGTATTTCTTCCCTTTCTGTCTTATAGGACAAGTTGAGAAATATTACATTTGGCTGCTTCTTAAATATTTGGTGAAACTTATCAGTTAATCCATTTGGTTCTAGGCCTCTTTGTGGATTTAAAAAAAAAGATTTATTTATTTATTGTAAATACAGTGTTCTGTACTGCATATATCCATGCAGGCCAGAAGAGGGCACCAGATCTCATTACAGATAGTTGTGAGCCCTCACATGATTGCTAGGAATTGAGCTCAGGACCAATGGAAGAGCAGGCAGAGCTCTTAACCTCTAAGCCATCTCTCCAGCCCCACAGAAAGATGTTTAATTAATACTTCAACCTAGTTACATGATATGGGACTGAGGTATTTATAACTTTTTTATTTCACTTAGGTTATAAATACTTAGTAAGACATCCATGTCTTCCAGATTTTTCAGGGTTTTATTTATGAAGTATTTGATATGTTCACTAATGTCCTGGATTTCATCAGAATTTGCTGCAATATCCAATTTGCATCTCTGATTCTATTAATTTAATGTTTTCTATTCTTATTTTGTTTAATTTTGCTACTGGTTTGATCAATCATGTTTAGTCCTTACAAGGAAGCATCTTTTTGCCAGATTTTATGTATTTGTCCTTTAATCTCCATTTTATTAACTTCTGCCATGATTCATATTATTTGTTGCCCCCCACTGCTTTAAGGTTTGGCTGTTATCTGAGATGTCTCTGATTTTTAATGTAAACACTTATTGTTTATAAACTTTTCTCTTAGAACTGATTTGTATGTATACTACAGATTATGGTAAACTGCACAGTCAATTTCACATGATTCTAGAAGTTTTAAACTTTGATTTAAGTATATAATTCATTCTTTATCCAAGCACGTTATTTTTCTACGCTTACTTTGTATTTCTATTGTCTTTCTAGCTTTAGTCCCAGTATATGACAAAATAAAAATAATTATTTTAATTCTTTTGTTAAGGCTTATTTGGTAGCATATGTGATCAAATTCAAAGATTGTCCTATGAACTGCTAAAAAGAGTGTATATTCTATGGATGTCAGATGTTCTGCAGATGTCCACAAAATCCATTTAATCTAATCTTCAGTATGGTATAGCTGATATTTCTTTGTTAAGTTTCACTTCAGATGACCTATCTTAAGGAGATTATTAAAATCACCAATATCAGGTTCCATCTGAGTTTTCATGCCATTGTGTATTTTTTTAAATGAAATTCAGTGCCATAACACTTGTTGCATATACATTTACAACTGTTATAAATTCTTAATAAGTTGTTCCTTATATTACTGTGTAATATCCCAATTTATCTCTTCTGACTAATTTTCATTTGATGTGTACTTTATCAAGCATCAGAATAGCTGTGCTAACTTATTTTCTGCTCCCACTTGCTTGAGGAGCTGACTTCCATTCTTTAGCTAAGGATCCATAGACTTCTTTGCCAGTGAACTGAGTTTATTGTATGCAGCAGTTAAGTGAGGAAACAAGGACACTTGCATTTAAGGTTTACTATTTCCTGAGGGCTAATTTATTATGTTAAATGTTATGGATTCCTTCTCAGCTCTCTTTTCTTAATCACTGAGCAGTCTCTCTAGCTGGAGGCCCTAACATTTTTACTTTAGCTCTTTTCCCAGATACTTTGTTTTGGGCTTTTAAATATATCCTAATAATTCTTACAAAGTTTGGCCATGCTAACTTTTTTCTTTTGTTTTCTTGAAACAAGGTTTCTCTGCATAGTACTAAAGGTCCTAGAACTTGTTCTGTAGACCAGGCTTGCCTTCAACTCACAGAAAGCCATCACCTCATCTGCCTTCTGAGTGCAGGGATTAAAGGGGTACACCATCACCATATGGCTTGTCATGCAAATTTTCTGTCTATCCATCCATCCGAATGCATTTTGTACTCTACTTTTAGTATTATTTTTTTTCTGCTTGCTTTGTGTGTTAATAAGTCTTCCTGCTTTTTTTTATAATTTTATTTTTTTTCAAGTCCCGTTTGGTTCTTTTTCAGAATTTCAATTTCCATAGTGAGTATTTCCTACATGTTGTTTGCATTTCTCCTCTATACTTCTGACCATTCCATCCACTTTGAAAACTTTCGTACCTAGTCCCTGAATTGATTTCCTTAATTCAGTCATCTTGCTTTTTGAATCCTGTATTTGAGCACTGTTATTTTTTTAAGAGCAGGACTCTGACATCTTCTGGCACATCAGGTAGTTCACTAACTTTCGTTTCCAGTGTGGAGGAATTGTGAGCGTACATGAACATGGTGTCACAGTGGTTCACTCTCTCTCTAATGATGCTGTTAAGTTTTGTGATCTGCTAGATGTAGCTTCCAGTTTTCCTGCTTCTTTCCTTACTTGTTTATTTTTTGTGAGTTATCACAGTAAACTGCCTTAATTTGATAGGTGATGCCAACCCAGTAACAGAAACAATGCTTTGACAGAAGTGCTGATGTTAATATGCTAGAAAAGACCCTGTGTACTTCACTTATGTCCCTAACGTTCTAGACAGAGGGACTAAGGTACTGTGGTGAAGTTTATCTCAGTTGTTTATAGCTAAGGTTATTTATAATTAAAAAGGAAAAAGAGGAAATGGTGTGGAAAAGGGAAAGGAAAGAATATAGTCAAAGGAAAGTACAGAGCTACAGGTATGAGAAACAATAGAGCAAACAAAGAACAGGTACAGAAAAGTAAACTTATAAAAGCTTATTCTTACAAGATACAAATGAAACAAAAGTATTAAACAATTAAAATACAAGCATATATATTAATAATTACATAAACGTAACTAAAATTAGACAATTATTATAATGTTAGTATTTCTTCCTTTGGGATAAATATAGTTCCTCTCCACATTGGCTGTCTCCTTTAGCTGTTTCTGTAGGTAAAGAGACTGCTGTTAGTCTCTTTAATTTAAACACATTATATGGGTATGTCTTTCCTGTTGAAAGATGTCTCTGTGTTGTACTACTTTCTCAGTTTTCCAGTCTGAAACACTCCACCTGTCAGCCACTGTCTTCTCTTAGATTATTGCCAATCAGTTTCCATGAGGACCTTTTGAGTCAGAGGCTCTGGGGGAATGTGGAAGGAGGGTCTACACTTGTATTTACTTCTGTCATAAGATGTTGTCTTCTAACCCTGACCCCTGCTGTTTTATTTGCTAATGATCTACATATATTGCTCCAAAATAGACTTATGTCCATCTCTAACAATGAACCAGCTTCAACATAATTCCTTTGTATAACCATGCTGCTGCTTGTGCCACAGTGCTGATGGTAGTACTTTCCATTTAATCTTCAGGTTAGTCACTCAGGGGCTCTTACTCCATATTCCCTTGTTGCATTTCTATCCTGGTGTCCCTCGGTAGTCTCAGTGCTCATGGTGTATCCAGCTCCTAGTTATGTCTTTATAGCTTGTCTATTTATATGCTCAGGATAGGACAGTTTTTCCCTCGTATTATCAGTGCTCATGATCCCAGCAGAGGCAGTGTGGTATATTCCTGTCAAGTTATTCTGATATCTACTCAGCTTATCTCTTTTCTATACCTCTCACTTCTCCCATGCCAACACTTTTCAGCTGTTCTATTACATGTGGCTGATGGTCTTACACTCTTTCCTTCTTAGCAATTGTTTTCTTTTTAAAAATCCAGTCTCCTTCACCAGGTCACAAGTTCCCTATTCTTTTTTTTTTAAACCATTCTGGATATTCTATTTTCATTTCTTAAATGGTATCAAACATCTCAAAAGGATACTTGATTTGAAGTTTTTTGTTGTTGTTTTGTTTTAGTTTGTCGAGATAGGGTTTTTCTGTGTATCCCTAGGTATCCTGGAACTTGCTCTATAGACCAGGCTGGACTTGAACTCACAGAGATCCACCTGCCTCTGTTTCCTGAGTACTGGGATTAAAGGCATGCAGCACCACCACTGACGAGTATTTTCTATATGCTTCTGTACCAATATGGTTCACATAATCCATTAATTTATTTTTTCTTTAAAATTCCTGTATTTAGTAACTTACACTTTGAAGTTCTCATGAAGAAAATAATATCCTTGCTCAATTACTATTCATGTTCAAAGTATAAGATTATTATGTATAGAATATTAAGACAATGGACTGCACTTCAATTTTAGGCTCTCTTAGAGCTCAACTTTTTTCTGAATAAACAAACTATTTGCAAACATAAGTGTACAGTCAACTAGTTTCTTTAAATTTCAAAAATGGCAATATTACCCAGAAATTAACAGTTAACATTTAGAAAGTCTCTTACCTACAGCTCAGTTTGAACTGCTTAATAATGTTGCTGATTTTTTCAAATCTGTGGGCATCACGCTGTTCTTTACACTGATAATGAGAAATGACCTGTGAAGAGGAATGTTATAATTTGAATCCATGTAAATACTCATATCACTGTTACTAATTAAAACAGACATCTATGAAGGCCTTTGGTCATCTTGATTTGAAGAACTAAGTTGTTACCTGGCAGCCTGTTTCTTGCCCTGTCCCATATCCTTGCCAGCAATTTCCATATTCGTTTGGATAACCTACCCAGGATCATTTTGTTATAACTCTATTAGATGACTTGTATATTCTCTAGAAATGACTTTTGACTTACAGTGGAGAGTAAACAATACACATTCAGTAGAAACCATATTTTGAATTTTTCCAGGCTTGGAACACACTGTACATATATTGTACTTGGATTATATTGTACAATACTCTCTTGTGATTCTGGACAGCAATAGTGAGCCATAAATCCCATTTTACGAAGATAAAGTCCCAGATTACAAAAATAAAGAACTGATCATTTTTGGAGTATTTGCATTGTTAAGATATGGTGCTTGGTAGGTTTTCAAGTTAAGAGTTTATTAAAGCATACCCTATCCTAGTCAAGGAGCATTTTTTCCCAATTACCTAAATCACTAAGCTTTACCATATTAACAAGTCTTTGACTTAAAATTGTACAAATAAACAAAAATATCTAGCTGCTCTTAGGTAGTACCTAACATATAATTTTAAAGATGTCTATAACTAGCTGTTGGAATCATACTAAATACCTTTTCTAGATGATTCCAAGGACTAACTATCATAAGTGAACATATTTAGGACACACACCCACCCACACCAGGTAAAAATACTTTAATAACACCTTCTAATTTCAATAAAACTAAAAGTACCCTAAAGACTGAAATTAAGTGGCAAATATCTAGTAGAAGAAAATCCACATCATTTGCCAGAAGAAAATTCACATGGAAATTCTGACATGTTAAATATTTAAAATATAATTATTATAACAAAGATAGAATATGCATATATTCTCTATCCTCTGTTGCTAATTACATGCCAAGGTTTATGCTGGCTGCTTACCATTATGTTGTACCATTTTAATGTGCACAATAAATCTATTACATAAGAATTATTACTCAGATTTTTCAGAAGAGGAAACAAGCACAGAATAACTAAGATATCTGTCTAAACTCACCTAGCACTGGTAAAGATGAGACACTACATTTTTCACTGGAAGCTGCTTTGAGAGGTACATTAAATAAGCCTATTACCAATGATTTATGCAATGTGTTCTAACAAATTAGCTTAAATTACTACTATTTTTTTGTTTGATTTTTTGAGACAGGGTTTCTCTGGATGGAACTCTGTAGACCAAGCTGACCAGAGAGTCAGAGACTCTACTGCCTCTGCTTCCTTAGAACTGGGATTAAAGATGTGTGCCACCACTACCCAGCAGTTCTTACTACTATATTTCAAATGTATTTATTGGGCTGGAGAGATGGTCCAGTGATTAAGTGTGTTTCTTGGTGTTCCAGAGGACACAAGTTTGGTTTCCCACACTGATACCAGGCAGCTTATAACTGCCTATAATTCCAGCTCCAAGAAATCTGAATACCTTCTTTTGGCCTCCAGATGCCCAACAGACAAGAGGCAATACACACACGCACACACGCACACTCACAAAGACACACACAAATATTTTAAAATATGTATGTATAATACAGGTTTTTGCATCACTGACTCACAGCTATACAACAGACTCTGATATTGTTGCTAAATTCCATTTATAAGAAAACTAGAACTACCAACATGCCTTTTACTTCTCCAAGACTTTTACATGTTTGAAGTTTTCATGTTGTATCAATCTTTTTGATAAATGAGTGAGGGAAAGAGTTTTCTTAAAATAAAGTGTTCTACATTTCTTAACAAAGCTTAGTAGGTAACAAGATTCCTTTATTATATTGAATTATATTATTAGAACTAATCTGAATTCACTAACAAGGCATACCTGCAAAAATCTAAATTTTACTATATCCTAAAAGGTTACTTACCAAGGACTTTTTTCATACCACTTGCAGACAATATTGCTTTATAAATAAAAGCATATATGATGATGTAAAATGGGGGTGGTTCTTCCTATAGGCAGTAACATCCTGTTCTCTGAATAGACAAAGATAGTTTGAAATATAATTGTAGAGCAAAATGTCCTTACCAGAAAGGTAGCTCTCTCAAACAGAAGCACTTCATCAGCTTCAATAATTTCAGCAAAATTCCTTAGGTTCATTTCCAGTTGTTGAACATTTGGAATCAGCTGATAAACAATGCTGGACCAAGCCTAAAAGGACAGAACCACAATTAACTATTACTAACAGGTAGCCAGTTCCCAGCCTTTGAAATGAGTATGTACCCTACAAGACACAGACAGTAAAATGCATTGATAACAGAGTCCAAAACAGATATAGATGCTAAATACAACAAAAATGAAACAAGAAAATTAACCTAATACTTGATTTCTATCCTTGAGTTGAATTTTTAGAGTTCAAACACTTGAGAAATGCTGGAGAAATTCCTTTCCATGAGTAAACAGGTAATTTAATGCCATCGTGTAGGAAAAAAGTTGCAAAGTATGATCTTGTGCTAAAACCCTTCTAATCCAGACATCCAACAAATACTGAAGTCCAACATTATACGCAGCTTTAAAAAGAAGTAATAATGCTGTATTTGGCATACATCCAAGAGTCAATTGTGAAACTATCAGAGCCACAATGACAAGTAGCCCCTTCCTTCGAAGATATACAATGTCATTATAAAAGAAACAACTGGGATTATAATTTTCAAATGTTTGGTCATATCTGTAAAAATTACTAATTCGAGAACCGGAAGTCGTGTGTAGACCTCTTTCCTTTTGCGGCCATCGCTGGATCGCAGCCGCCAAAATGAAGTTCAATCCCTTCGTGACTTCTGACCGAAGCAAGAACCGCAAACGGCATTTCAAAGCACCTTCTCACATTCGGAGGAAGATCATGTCTTCCTCTCTTTCCAAAGAGCTCAGACAGAAGTACAATGTTCGATCTATGCCCATTCGAAAGGATGATGAAGTTCAGGTTGTCCGAGGACACTACAAAGGTCAGCAGATTGGCAAAGTGGTCCAGGTGTACAGGAAGAAATATGTCATCTACATTGAACGAGTACAGCGAGAAAAGGCTAATGGCACAACTGTCCATGTGGGCATCCACCCCAGCAAGGTGGTTATCACCAGGCTAAAGCTGGACAAAGACCGCAAGAAGATCCTGGAAAGGAAAGCCAGTCTCGACAAGTAGGAAAGGAGAAGGGCAAATACAAGGAAGAAATGATTGAGAAGATGCAGGAGTAGAGGCGTCTCATACACAGATTCCATTAAAGACTGTTTAAGTAAAAAAAAAAAAAAAAAAAAAAAAAAAAAAATTTACTAATTCAACTGAATTTTTAAAGGTCTATCATATGACTGCCTGAAACTGATTTTATCCAGTAGTATGACTAATGCATGCAGATGAGATTAGTTTCACCCTCCTAGTAGTCTATTAAGGTGCTTGTATTCATATTTCTGGTATAACACTTCCTTTACTGTCACTCTGAATTTCTGGTTATGTGTACTTTGTTCTTCTGTCTCCTGCAAGATGTTAGAAACCTATCTTATCCATTCACATATGTGAAAGCATCCAATAAATAGACAATGAATGCTTGTTGAATAAAACAATATAAAAATTTAAGTCAGTTCTATGGAACATTGATGTAAGAAATAGTAGTGACATGTCTCTGTTCCAATTCGTTTTATTACTTAGGTATAGTGTTCCAAGTTCCCAGGTCGGTGTTAATGTCACTGCTGAATTTACCTTGGAGAAGGCACCCAAAGCTAACCACAGCAGAGACATTGTCACTCACAGCAGTGTTGTTATTAGTCAATTGTCTTTGGTCGTGTTACGTATTGCCATCCTTCACGCCGCAGCTGGTTCTTATCAGTGTGTCATGTCCATCCTTATTCACGGTTACCTGTTCTTTGGGAATAAGGCTTTGAGAGGGCTCCTGTCTCCGGTCCCCATTGAGAGCACCCTTGGAGCTCTGATACACCCCCAACCATCCCAACCTCCAGCCTACCCCCCCTACCCTCCCAACCTCCAGCATACACCCCCTACCCTGTGCCCTACCCCACCTATGGTCCTGCTGCTCTGGTTGAGCACTGGGACAGAGGGTGGAGCCAACAGTCCACCCTACTTCGGAGATCTCTCAGAGCAACTCCGAACAAAGGAGACCTGACTATCCACGCGGGACCACCTGTAATTTCCACCAGCTTGGTCTCTGACCCCGCCTCCAGTCCTCTGCTGGAGTCCCAGGCCCCTCCCAGAGATCCGCCTATCTCTGCGGGTCCACTCGGAGTTCCTGCTGGCAAGATCCTTGCCCCCCAAATCCCGGCCCCTGCCAAAGAAGGAGGTCTCAGCTGGAGAGCGCCAGTTTCCAGTGAGATCCCACTACCCTGCAAAACCTTCTCAAGTTCAAGCTCAGCCCTCGTCCTCTTCTGCCAGTCATTGGCCAGAGCTATTGGCCAGAGGACCACTGTGAGTACCTGCTGGCATCTTCTTCTGGATCCTCATCCTTGACCCCATCCCTGGATCCCTGTCTGCAGAAAAACCTCCCTAGAGAGCTTGGACCACACAGAACTACAGACATTGAATCTTTGATCCACATAAGCCCATCGGGGGAAGGGACCATAGAGAGGAGGGAAGAGACACCACCAACACCTACTGGAAGAAACTATGGGAAGAAGGCAATACAAGAGAACACCTAACAACAGAAAGACAAACATGACACCACCAGAATCTAGGGAATCTACACCAACTAGAATGGAACACAACAACAAAGCAGAGGAAGCAGAAGGGTACGACTTAAAAATCACCATCATAAAAATGATAGAGGCCCTCAAAGAAGATATGAGAAAATCCCTTAAAGAAATGGAGGAAAAAACAAACAAAAAGTGGAAGAAATGAACAAATTCCTTAAGGAAAGTACAGAAAGCCAAGAAAAAAACAATTAACCAGGTGAAGGAAACGGTTCAAGACTTGAAAATCGAAATTGAGAAAATAAAGGCAACACAAATGGAAGGAAAGCTGGAAATTGAAAAGCTGGGCAAAAAATCGGAAACCACGGACACAAGCATAACCAATAGAATTCAAGAGATGGAAGAAAGAATCTCAGGCGCAGAAGATAAACTAGAAGAAATAGATTCATCGACCAAAGAAAACCATAAAGCCAACAAATCCTTAACACACAACATCCAGGAAATGTGGGACACCATGAAAAGGCCAACCCTAAGAATAATAGGCATAGAGGAAGGTGAGGAAGCCCAGCTCAAAGGTGCTGAAAACATATTCAACAAAATCATCGAGGAAAACTTTCCAAATCTGAAGAAGGACATGCCCATGAAAGTACAAGAAGCATACCGAACCCCAAATAGGCTGGACCAAAGAAAAAAGACCCCACGACATATAATAATCAAAACACCTAGCATACAGAATAAAGAAAGAATATTAAGAGCAGCGAAGGAAAAAGGACAGGTAACATATAAAGGCAGACCTATCAAAATTACACCTGACTTCTCCATGGAAACCCTCAAGGCCAGAAGGTCCTGGATAGTAGCTACTATATCCAGCAAAACTCTCAGTCAATATAGATGGAGAGAACAAGATATTCAATGACAAAACCAGATTTTCCCAATATGTATCTACAAATCCAGCCCTACAGAAAGTATTGGAAGGAAAATTCCAACCCAAGGAAGGTAACTATGCCCACAAAAATGTAGGCAACAGATAATCCAACTACACCAGAAACCTAGGGTGAAGCAGAACAAATATATTCACAATACCACTGCCAACAACAAACCTAAACCAAACAAGCATCAACAATCAATGGACCTTACTCACCCTCAACATTAATGGTCTTAACTCACCTATAAAAAGACACAGGCTAACAGAATGGATACGAACACAGAATCCATCCTTCTGCTGCATACAAGAAACACATCTTAGCTCCAAAGATAGACATTACCTCAGGGTAAAGGGTTGGGAAAAGATTTTCCAATCTAATGAAAATAAGAAGCAAGCAGGCGTAGCTATCATAATATCTAACAAGTTAGACTTCAAACCAAAACTAGTCAAAAGAGATGAAGACGGTCATTTCATATTCATCTCAGGAGAAATCCATCAACACAAAGTCTCAATTCTGAATATCTATGCCCCTAATACAAAATCACCCACATTAGTAAAAGAAACACTACTAAAACTCAAAGCTCATATAAAACCTCACACACTTATAGTGGGAGACTTCAATACACCACTCTCAACACTAGACAGGACCACAAATCAGAAACTCAACAAAGAAACAAAAGAATTAACAGAAGTTATGTCTCAACTGGGGCTAACAGACATTTATAGAACATTCCATCCAAAGACAAAAGAATATACCTTCTTCTCTGCTCCACATGGAACCTTCTCTAAAATCGACCACATACTAGGAGACATAACAAACCTCAACAGATACAAGAGAACAGGAATAGTCCCCTGTATCTTATCGGACCACCATGCTTTAAAATTGGAATTCAACAACAACACAAATAGCAGAAAACCTGCAAACTCATGGAAACTGAACAATGTGCAATTGCACCACTCCTGGGTCAAAGAAGAAATAAAGAAAGAAATTAAAGACTTTCTAATATTCAACGAGAATGAGGATACAACATACCTGAACTTATGGGACACCTTGAAAGCAGTGCTACGAGGGAAGTTCATTGCACTAAGTGCCCATATGAAGAAAACAGAGGATAGTCACATAAATTAATTAACAGCCCAACTGAAAACCTTAGTACAGAGAGAAGCGAATTCACCCCGCAGGAGCAGACGCCAGGAAATAATCAACTTGAGGGCTGAAATCAACAAAATAGAAACCAGGAAAACAATACAAAAAATCAATGCAACAAAGAGTTGGTTTTTTGAGAAAATCAACAAGATAGATAAACCTTTATCCAAATTAGCGAAAAAGCAGAGACAGAACATGCAAATTAACAAAATCAGAAACGAAATGGGGAACATAACAACAGACACAGAGGAAATCCAGACAATTTTCAGGTCATACTTCGAAAATCTGTATTCCACAAAAATTGAAAATTCAAAGGAAATGGACAAGTTTCTGGATAAGTATCACTTACCAAAATTAAATCAAGAACAGACAAACAACTTAAATAGACCTATAACCCGAAATGAAATAGAAGCAGTCATCGAAAGCCTTCCAACGAAAAAAAAGTCCAGGGCCAGATGGATTCAGTGCAGAATTCTACCAGACATTCAAGGAAGAACTAATACCACTACTCCTCAAACTGTTCCACAAGATAGAAACAGAAGGTTTATTGCCAATCTCTTTTTATGAGGCCACAATAACTTTGGTACCCAAACCTCACAAAGACACAACTAAGAAAGAAAACTACAGACCAATATCCCTGATGAACATCGATGCAAAAATACTCAATAAAATAATGGCAAACCGAATTCAAAAATACATCAGAGAAATCATCCACCATGATCAAGTAGGCTTCATACCTGGATTGCAGGGATGGTTTAACATACGAAAATCTATCAACGTGATCCACCATATAAACAAACTGAAAAAGAAAAACCATATGATTATCTCCCTATATGCGGAAAAAGCCTTCGATAAAATTCAACACCCTTTCATGATAAAGGTATTAGAGACGTCAGGGATAACAGGAACATACCTAAACATAATAAGAGCAATATACAGCAAACCAACTGCCAACATCAAACTGAATGGAGAGAAACTTAAGCCAATTCCTCTAAAACCAGGAACAAGACAAGGCTGTCCTCTCTCTCCATATCTCTTCAATATCGTACTAGAAGTTCTAGCTAATGCTATAAGACAAAAAAAGGAGATCAAGGGCATCCAAATTGGAAAGGAAGAAGTCAAACTGTCTCTATTTGTAGATGATATGATTGTTTACATAAGCGACCCAATAAACTCTACCAGGGAACTCCTACAGCTGATAAACACCTTCAGCAAACTAGCAGGATACAAGATAAACTCAAAAAAATCAGTAGCCCTATTTTTTTCAGACGACAAAGAGGCAGAGAATGAAATCAGAGAAACATCACCCTTTACAATAGCCACAAGCAACATAAAGTATCTTGGTGTAACGCTTACCAAACAAGTAAAAGATCTATATAATAAGAACTTTGTGACTCTAAAGAAAGAAATTAAAGAAGATACCAGAAAATGGAAAGACCTCCCATGCTCTTGGTTAGGTAGAATAAACATAGTAAAAATGGCAATCTTACCAAAAGCAATCTACAGATTCAATGCAATCCCCATTAAAATCCCACCACAATTCTTCACCGACCTTGAAAGGATAATAATCAACTTTATATGGAAAAACAAAAGACCCAGGATAGCCAAAACAACCCTATACAATAAAAGAACTTCCAGGAGGCATCACCATTCCTGACTTTAAGCTCTACTACAGAGCTATAGTTCTGAAAACAGCCTGGTATTGGCATAAAAACAGACAGGTAGACCAATGGAATCGAATTGAAAATCCTGATATTAATCCACGCACCTATGAACACCTGATTTTCGACAGAACAGCTAAAATTATACAATGGGGCAAAGACAGCATCTTCAACAAATGGTGCTGGCACAATTGGATGAGGGTGTGAAGAAGACTGCAGATAGACCCATGTCTGTCCCCATGGACAAAACTCAAGTCCAAATGGATCAAAGACCTCAATATCAATCCAGCCACATTGAACCTCTTAGAAGAGAAAGTAGGAGGTACCCTTGAACAAATTGGTATAGGAGACCGCTTCTTGAACATAACTCCAGGGGCACAGTCACTGAAAGAAACAATTAATAAATGGGACCTCTTCAAACTTAGAAGCTTCTGTAAGGCAAAGGACACAGTTGACAAGACCAAACGGCAGCCCACTGACTGGGAAAAGATTTTCACTAATCCTATATCCGACAAAGGGCTGATCTCCAAAATATACAAAGAACTCAAGAAACTAGTCAACAAAACACCAAATAACCCTATTAAAAAATGGGGTAAAGAACTGAAGAAAGAATTCTCAATGGAGGAAATCAAAAAGGCTGAAAGACACTTGAGAAAATGCTCCACATCCTTAGGTATCAGGGAAATGCAAATCAAAACAACTTTGAGATACCATCTTACCCCTGCCAGAATGGCTAAAATTAGAAACACCAGTGATGACTTATGTTGGAAATGATGTTGAGAAAGTGGAACACTCCTCCACTGCTGGTGGGAGTGCAAACTCATACAGCCATTTTGGAGATCAGTATGGCAGTTCCTCAGGAAACTGGGAATTAGTTTACCACAGGACCCGGCAATCCCCCTCTTAGGCATATACCCAAAGGATTCACATCAATGCAACAAAGCCATCTGTTCAACTATGTTCATAGCAGCACTATTTGTAATAGCAAGAACCTGGAAGCAACCTAGATGCCCCTCAATTGAAGAATGGTTAATGAAGATGTGGCACATCTACACAATGGAATACTACTCTGCAGAAAAAAAATAATGGTATCTTGAAATTCGCAGGCAAGTGGATGGCACTTGAAGAAACCATCCTGAATGAGGTAACCCAGTCACAAAAAGAGAAACACAGTATGTACTCACTCATATATGGATTTTAGAACTAGATCAAATGATCACCAGCCTATAATTCACATCACCAGAGGAACGAGGATACAAGTTGTATTCTAAGAGATTCATATAAAGTCCCTCAGAACTGGGAAGGGACAAGTCCCCCTGACCTCAGGTAAAGTGGGGGAGGACAGCTAATGGAGAGAGAAGTAGGAGAAAATGAGAGGGAGGAGAGGAAGGCATGTGCGACCAGGAGGATTGAGCCTGGTTAGGAATGGAAAATAGGAAAGAGAGAGAGAGAGAGAGATACAGAGACAGAGAGAGAGAACATAAAATAGGGAGCCAATATTGGTTTGAAGATAAAGTTGAACACAAAGAAAGGTCGAGGGAACTACAAGACTGCTCCCAACTAACAATCTCAGCTCCCCTGGAAAGGCTATCATAAATGCCCTTCCCGGAGAGTGAGATCAACAACTAACTTCTCCATGGAGTCCTCAACTAATGCCTGTTGAAAACAGGAGCAAACACCCATACATAAACACTGAATCGAACTAGAACCCAGAAGCAGATGGAGAGGACAAGACCATGCGGTAGAAGTACATAGAGACAGCTTACCTGAACAAGGAGGGGCTAAGGGCCACTAGACTGATAGCTGGGAAGCCAACAGGGGACTGACTCGGACACCCCTGAATATGGGTCTCAGCCAGAAGGTCTGAGCAGTCTAAGAGACCTCAGACAGTGGAGCCAGGATGTATCCCTGGTGCACAAAAGGACTTTGCAAACATATCCCCCCATGGAGGGATAACTGCCTTATTCTAGAGATAGGAGAGAAGCCCTAGTCCCTACTTCATAGGACCTGTCAGATCTACATGACCCCAACTGGATGGCATTCCCCTACATATTGTATTGTGGTGGGGGGTTGGAGGGGAGGGTGTTTAGAGTGCATGGGAGAGGGCAGAGAGGGCAAAGGGAGGGAAGGAGGGAGGGAGGGCTGGAGGGGAGGGAGGCAGGGAGGGAGGGAGGGAGGGAGAGGGAACTGGGATCGACATGTAAAATAATAAATTAAAAAAAAAAACGCTTTGACTCCAAAATTTAAGTTGAAGAACAAGTTACTGGGGAAAAGTATTTCTATTTTTGTTTCCACAGAAAATGAAAAGATGTGGATTCCTTCCAGACTAATGTGGTTTGATCACGCCAGACCGCCTGAAACAGAGTACAAGCTGATCCTACATTCCAAACAGCTGGACAAAACAGCCCTGCAGACTACAGCTAGGATATCTGAATCTTCTTCGAATCCCCCAAGACAGCGCCCCTTACCAGCAGGAAGTAGTTTGGAAAGAACGATGCCCAAATTCCCAAATATTGTGTATAAATGTTTGTCTTCATTTAATTGGACTTTGTTATATAAAATTAAATAAAAATAAATACATAAATAAATAAATTTAAAAAAAGGCTTTGAGAGAAATTCGGCCCATATTAATCTAGAGCAGTACTTCCTAGACTTCTATCTCAAAATGTTGTTATTAGAGTGAGCCTGGATCAACATAATACTGGGGGGAAATGAATTAGTTTTTCAAAAAATCAATTGCTATTTTAAAAAAATCCAATGGTTTTTCTCCTTCGGAAATCAGGTTTCTGTGAATTTGGTTGTAGACACTTGTTAGATGAGTTGAAACTGAAGCTCTGGCTACCAATGACAGAGAAGGATCCTTTGCCACCCAGCATCATACTTGTCAGTGTATACCAGAAGCAGTCTGAAGGAAAGGTCTAACCACATGAGGACACAAAAGTAGTTAATCTTTAAACCACTAGTAAGCAAGAAAAAAATGGAAGAAGCAGGAGCCTATGTACCACAAAGGTAACTCAACCACTACAATAATCATTGAGACCACAATTAGTCAAAATGGATAATGGATGTTAAGCAACACTTGCTATGACAAAGAACAGTAGCAGATTAATCATATCTAAACAGGCAAACTTGGTGACAATGTCAACCCAATCTAAGATTAAAAATCCAAACTCCTTTTTTTTGTTTTTGATTTTTGTTGTTGTTGTTTTTTTCCAAGACAGGGTTTCTGTGGCTTTGGAGGCTGTCCTGGAACTAGCTCTTGTAGACCAGGCTGGTCTCGAACTCACAGAGATCTGCCTGCTTCTGTCTCCTGAGTGCTGGGTTTAAAGGTGTGTGCCACCACCACCCAGCTAAAACCAAACTGATGTTAAGTTTGATGTTCTTTGAACAATTTGTTAAAGATTATTTTGTTTTTAGTACAATACATCTAGATGGCTATGAAAGAGTTTAATATTTTAGTTTTGTTAATAACCTTCTAATTTTTATTGCATGCTTTAAAAGTAAGAAATAGAGGGACATACACACCTTATACAGAGTTTCATCCCAGATAGATGTTCGGAAACAAGAACATTCTAATGGACGAGATAAACGCCTTAAATCTTCTTCTCGTTCTTTAAAAATCTGAATTAAAAAGTTCAACAAGCGAATCAGCATGTTAACACTCTTCCTTCACTGCAAAATCTGAGGTGTAATTATTTTCATCATATTTTGACAAGGACCTCTTACTCTGTCTTCATAGGAACATTGAGTATTATTTCTCAAACAAGGATAAACATGTTACTGGCTATTAGATTTCTTCAGGCTTATCCTGCCCTTGCTAAATATTCATGGAAAACACTGGTAGAAAATAAAATTTATCATACAGAGATGTCTTAAAATATTTGTAAACTCCAATCTACCAAATCTAGGTCATTTTTAATATGGCAATAACTATAATAAAATTTTGCAAATCCAAACATATTTTAGTTCTCTAGCATTATAGAAATACCCCTTAATAGCATATGCAAACATAAATATTTATATGTATAGTGTACTTAATTTGCAACAAATATAACCCACACAAGCAGCTAAGCTCTAGCCATCTAGAGTTTTTTTCTATGTATACATTCCCACACACAGAGAGAAAATAGCTATATAAAACATGTATACTCAGATATGCTTCCGTGAATGGGTGGATTGCTAGTATGGGTATACACATAGTGATGTCTAACTCTTTTTAATTTTTAAATTACATTTTAGTAATTTATTTATTTTTATTTTATGTGCCTTGGTATTTTGCCTGCATATATGTCTGTGTAAGGGTGTTGGATACTGGAGTTACTGACAGTTGTGAGCTGCCATGTGGGTTCTGGGAACTGAACCTGGGTCTTCTGGAAGAGTAGTAACTGCTCTTAATTGCTAAGTCATCTCTCCAGCCCCTAAATTACATTTTAAATAAAAATAAATTACAATACTTTTCACTTTCCTTACTCCAGGTCCTCCTAAGTCCCCTCCCTTCAACTCCTTCCTTGTACCCCTTTCTTAATTGATAATCTTTTCCTTTAGTAGTTACACACACACACACACACACACACACACACACAGAGAGAGAGAGAGAGAGAGAGAGAGGGAGGGAGGGAGGGAAGGAGAGAGAGAGAGGCATGAATATATAAGTACAACTTTCTGAGTTCATTTTTGCTATTTGTATGTATTTCATTTCAGGGTTGATCATTTTGTATTAGGTGGCCAAATACTATCTAATTGGACTTAAGGCCCAACAGGGAGATCATGCCTGATACTAGAAATCTAGTTAACTTCCAGAGACTAGTAAAGTCATGGATCTTAGAAGAGAATATACTACTGACACTTTGCTAGGTCAGCATAATTCCCTATTCTAAATTTTATCCTTATACCCACAGATAATTATAGCTACCACACCTCATTTATGAAGCTTCTCTCTACAGCAAATGGAGACCATCAGAGAAAACCACAACTAGACACAATGCAGAGATCAACAGACTGAGAAAAGATCTCCCATGCTCTTGGATAGGTAGGATAAACATATTAAAATGGCAATATTGCCAAAAGCAATCTACAGATTCAATGCAATCCCCATTAAAATTCCACCACAATTCTTCACTAACCTTGAAAGGATAATAATCAACTTTATAAGGAAAAACAAAAGACCCAGGATAGCCAAAACAGCCCTATACAATAAAAGAACTTCAGGAGGCATCACCATTCTTGACTTTAAGCTCTACTACAGAGCTATAGTTCTGAAAACAGCTTGGTATTGGCATAAAAAAACACAGGTAAACCAATGGAATCGAATTGAAAACCCTGATATTAACCCACACACCTATGAACACCTGATTTTCAACAAAACAGCTAAAATTATACAATGGGGCAGAGACAGCATACTTTTAATCCCAGCACTTGGGAGACAGAGGCAGGCAGGTCTCTGTGAGTTCAAGGCCAGCCTGGCCTACAAGGCTAGTTCTAAGACAGGTTCCAAAACAATACAGAGAAACCCTGTCTCAAAACAAAAAGCAAAAAAAAAAAAGAAAGTGTTTTGCTTGTTTAGCTTCTGCCTAAGACATGAATCAACACATAACCTATATTAAGGTTAAAATGTCAGGCCTGCATTAACATACTACCAGCTTAAGTAGTTCACAATGTTCAAGGTTTGTCATTTGTCATCTATTCACCAATAGTGGGAGGTTCCAGAACACGATGATGATGACAAACAAATTTGTAAGACCAACCCCAACTTCCTTCCCCAGCTCTCTGATCACTTTTCTCTGTAGGCCAAAATTTATAGTGGTAATTGCTACCACTTAATTGGGAAACTTAAATACAAAGGGGTGTTACAGTAGCAAGAACAACCCGGAAACATTTTATCATCAAATACAAGGAGAGTACCCTTATTTGATTGGACAGAAGAGCCAAAGTACCAACTCACAGAAACCTATAGTTTTGACTAGCAGATCATAATGCTCCTATAAATGATTTAGAAGGGATATCTACTACATTTTATTTGATCTATATAAATGAAATAATTTATATCAAATTATCAAAAATCTAGCACAAATTGTAAAATCTCATAGTTTTTCAACTGGTATCTAGATTTGTGTCACTTTATAAATCCAAAAACATTAAGGGTCACCTTAAGGAAAGGTGCTGACACAATTCCATTCAGTTTGCCTATTCAGTTTCTGTGGAAGACATGGCTCTTAGAAAGTGGATATCATATGCTTAGTAAATTTCTGACTGCAAGTTACAACTACTGGACCAGATGTGGTTAAAATACCGATTCTTCTATTGGTATAGGAATCAACTTTCCCCTTTGTGTATAAGAAGGCTACTGATTTATTTGTTAATTTTGTATCCTACTACTTTGCTAAATGTGCTTATAGCTTAGGAGTTTTCAGGGTCCTTTGTGTATAGAAACACATGTCATCAAAATCTAAGGATACTTTTACTTCTTCTTCTCCTATATGCATACTCTTACTTCCAGGTCTCAAGCCTATCTTCCTTGCTCTCCAAGTTTCTGATTACTCCCACAAAAGGCTTCCAGAATGAGTTGAGCTAATTCCTTAAATGAAATACCCTCCCATTCCTTTGTCTCTTTGTTTTTCTATATACAAACACATTTGATTGGGTCTGTTTCTCTGGAAAACTCAAACATATATAAACATACATACACATATTTATATTAGATGAAATTGTTATTTTGAAAGCACTTATAGAAATTTTTATTTTAATCTTTTCAGTCTAATATTTAATGAAACTAATGATTTTCTCAATTGAGAATTGCTTAAAGACTTAATATATATTTGAGAATATTTATAGACAATTTTAAAAACAGTAAGAGAAACTGTAAGTGACTGAAACCTTGAAAAGGAGCTCATTTGTTGTAATGTTCTAGCTTTTTATTGCAAATTTGACTAAAATATTTTTTAAAAATGTGGTGTACTGGGGATTTGATTCAAGGCATCAAATAGGCCAGGTAGCACACTACCACTCTACATCCCCAGCTCTTGAAACTGTTTTTAAAATAGCAGAGTAAGGAGCTAGAGAGATGGTTCAGCAGTGAAGAGCAATTTTTGCTCCTGCAGAGGGCTCAAGGTCAGTTCATGGTTCTCAGCACACATATCAGGTGGCATACAACCACTTGTAATTCCAGCTCCAGGGCCCTCTGTGGGATATATAACGAAAACTATTACCAAAAAAAATCCTTTAGTATGAGGCACTCCTTAAGACATCCACCAAGCCAAGGAGAAAATATATTCTTCTATACAAACATTATAATCTAAAACTGCTTTTCTTAGTTCTTCTCTCTAACATAGAGAAGGATTTTCTTTTTTTATCATTTTGGGAGGGAGCCTAGCCTTTAATGGCTGAGCCATCTCTCCAGCCCTTCTTTTTTATCTTATTCCTTATTATCTGATGTGTTTACTTTACATTGAGCAAACTGAAGGTAGACTATCTTTGTCTTACCAGACCCAGATCTCATTAAGTCCTCTCTGAAATATATGTCACTGATTTTATGTGTTTTTGTTGAGATGAAGGTTGATATTGCCTACTCCACCATCCTTGGTCATCTTTGAGTTATACTCATACATACATATTCATTTATGCCACTGCAATTGTGAGGGACTGTGAGTAGTGCTTGACACAGTGTGGTAGGCACTTGAACTGGTGCATATCAGTTTCTAAATTAGTCCAGTGACAGCAGACACCTCTCCTCATCTTAGCCTTGGTGGGCCGTTTAGCTATGACAATAAATAGGGGCAGAAAACCACATTTTTAAAATGATAGAGGTTACTTAGTGAAAGCAAATAGTCAGATCTTACCTAGTTATGAAATACAGAATGCTACAAATTGACCTAGTTTATAAAGGAAGTCAACAAAGCATGCTAACTGTTTGGTATAGAACCTTTTCAGTTTCTTACCAAGTCTCGTTGATCCTCCTGAACCAAATCCATTTTGTGTACCAAGCAGAAGATTTTGGCTTCTGGAGAATTCTGCAGAATGGCCTCAAGACATGATTGATAGTAGTGCATGTCCTTCTCAAGTTCGCGGCTCTCCACATCAAAGACATAAATCAGAACCTCAACATTTCGAAAGATGTTGTCACGCTGGCTAGTGAAATAATTTTCCATGAAGGTGTCTTGTCTGGTAGGAAAGAAAATCTAGATAGTAAACAAATCCTTTGTTCAATCCCTCCTGCTTAAAATTTTTTAGCTTGATCAAAAGAAAGATAACAGCTAAACATATTGAGCTCTACCTTACTGCAGAGTCATAACTTGCAATCCTGTAAAATGTTTGTTTTGCTGTTGCGGTTGTTGAGACAGGGTCTCACTATGTATTGGTGGCTGGACTGGAATTCATTATGTAGACCAGGCTGACCTCAAACTCATGTCTAGCTTCTGTCCTTTCTATATCCCTCTCATTTTAAACAGTTACCACAAAGTGCAATAATATACTTATTTGGATGAGTTTTTAATTAATAGTGTTCAATTCCCTATACAACCAGCCAAGGATTATCCCTGATATTATTTCCCGCTGTCTCAAAGCTTTTGAAAGCAGAGTGGTAAATGATTAATGAACGTTTGCTGAATAACTTCACAGTCAAATATTCTAAATTATATGAAAATGACTCCAATTATGACTTTTCAGCAGAATGTTACTCTCTGTTCCTAGGCTGGATACCACTTTCCAGAAGATCTCAAAAGCTGGACAGGAATAAAACAGTAGTGTCATTTAGTGTTGTATATGGGGTGGTGCTTACAAATTTCTAATCCTGTACCTGGCTAATTACAGCTGTAATTATAGCTGTGTAACATTGGAAGAATCATAACTTCCCTAAATTACAGATACTTGACATGCAAAACTAAATTTCTTATTTTAGTACCTAAACACAAGGAACTTGGGTAAATCTGTTGACATAGATAAAAGAATTGGGAGCAATTACAATGAGGGAAGATTAATATTCTAAGGTATTAATTCAGCTGTTAGCAAGAAAAAAAAAGAGTTACATTTTTTTGAGACAGGGTTTCTCTGTACAACAACACTGGCTGTCCTGGAACTAACTTTGTAGACCAGGCTGGCCTCAAACTCATAGAGATTTGCCTGCCTCTGCCTATACCACTGCCTGGCTAAGTTACTGTTTTACAGGAGAGAAGCCCTAGTCCCTACTTCAAATGACCTGTCAGATCTACATGACCCCACCTGGATGGCATTGCCCTACATATGGAATTGGGGTGGGGGATGGGAGGGGAGAGTGGGCAGGGTGCATGTGAGAAGGCAGAGAGGGTAAAAGGGAGGGAGGGAGGGAGTAACGGAGGGAGGGGGAACTGGGATCGACATGTAAAATAATAAATAATAAAAAAAAGAGTTACTGTCTTAAGAGTATTTAGTTCTTACATTATTCTGTCAAAATATTCACTAAGCATCTTTTGTATGTTTGGAGCTGGGAAATACCCACCAGACAATTATCTTTTTTTGTAAGATACTACAATGTATGTTTTTTTTCAATGTATGTTTTACATATTTTAACCTGCTTATTTTGCTGTATTGTACAGATGAAGCTATAGCACAGAGTTTGAATAATATACCCCAGACAAAGAACCTATACTCTTAATCACTGTGCATTACACACTGCTGCTTCAGCACAGAGATGTATAAAGCAGGCAACAACATCAGCTCAGAAGCATAGTACATGTACATCTGTGCTGGGATTTTTGATGATTGCCTTGATTATGAAAGGAAGCGATCTGTTACTCTTCCAACAATAGGTAACATAGCCTGATAATATATGCTTAGAATCCAATCTACAGTGATAAGACTGTCTACAAGTAATTACTAAAATGACTATGACCAGTCTAGTATAATAAATAATAGCTAAGAACTCAATACAGGTGTCAGTCAACATGGGACAGATTTAATTTATGCCACTGCAAAAGAGGGATAATCTATGCCATAGTATACATACTTAGATGCAGCTTATATTGGAACTACTTAAATACTGTCTTGTGTAGAGGTCATTTTCAAAGTTGTACAAAACACAGATCTTTATAAATCAACTGATGATTCAGAAATATTTTTTAAGCAATGTTATCAATGAAAATGTAGTTATTCTAGGTGTTATCCGCCATGCTGATTATACTAGATGGGATCATTACTGCCATCAGGTTCACAAACAAGTAGGCACATAGTACTTACCCACCACAATCCCACAGGTTCAAAACCAGGTTTCCCAGAAATCGAACATGAGAATGTTCTACATCAACTGGAAGATAAATGTTACAAATCTAGTATTTGTAGTAAAGAACTTTAAGAAAAGAAAAACAGTAGCCCATGATGTTTAGAAGGACCAAAGTGGAGTGAAATGCTCAAAGCCATAACAAGAAGGTGATTTTCAGCTTAGTTATTTGGTTTAGTAGCAAGGTAGGCACCTATACTACCCTAAGCTAAGGAATTGGCTTGTGTCAGTCATTTTTAAATTTCAGTAGTTTAGTACCCAAAGCAGAAACAATCTCCAATTGTAATATTAATGTTAAGTTTTAACAAGCAAGACAGTTACATTCACCATTTAACAGCTCTTCTCAACCCCATTTTCTTTTACCAGCTTCCCCACAAAGAATAAAGATGAAAGCAAACACAAAACATAAAACAAAAACAAACTAACTCCTGTACTGACTTCCTCTTCAGTTAATGACTCTATTAGTTCTTCTACTTTTGGACTCCCCTGACCATGTTTAGTTCTCTTTGAGTTTGTTTTAGTATCTCTTAATTCCATTCTTAATTTTACAATCCATCACCCAATATCAAGGAGGGCCCTTACCACCTTCTGCCTACACTACAAGAAAGCCTTACTTACTTTATATTACCCATTAGGATACTGCAAGGTTCATCTTCTTAACACTACTTTGAACATATCACTCCCCATTCAAAATGCTTTTAATGGCTCCTCCATGTCTAATGGGAATGCACTCAAGGTCCTTCACACTTTGGCTTCCAATCTACCTTTATAATCCCCAGCAATTTATACTAACAAATCCTTTCTTTCCAATACAATATGTTTTATTTATAGACCTCCCAACCCTACTACCTCCCCATCCCCCCAACATATTTTACCTCCAGGGGTCGCAAACATGCTGATTCAGGCCATGTGAGTAAACTTATACCATTAAAGCTGGCTAAATGACAGGGTAAACATCTACCATGGGCTCACAGAAGCTGACAGTTATTGAAATCTTGTTCATTTGCCATTAAAAATTATTGGTTCCGGTTTATTAGATCTTTAACATTTTAAATAGTAACTTGGATGCTAGGATTTTATGAAAAATTTTACAAGAGATTACTATTTCCAATTTTTCTAAAACAATGTGCATGCCAAAGAAAGCACATGTATAGGCCTTATCCAGCACACAGGCTTTCTGTTTGCGACCTCTGTTTAACTGTTCACTCCCACAATCCATCGCCTTTTTCATTCTTCGCTGTAATGCACCACCCCTTCTTCCTTTCAAAGGTAACCCTAAAACCCAGACTAATTCCCACCTCCTCCAAAAGTTCTCCTTGCCTAACAAAAATCCCATTTACCAGTATCTCTGTCTGAACTCATTCAAACATAGTAAGCAACTACTCTCTGCCAGGCACTCAAAACCTCAAGAAGGAATAATTTAAGATTTTACCATGAATATTTCTCAAAGTCTAGCTTTTTTGTTCTATATAATTGATGTGCTAGTTAACTCAAATCACATTGTAATATTTCCTGTGTCTATCCCCAGTTACCTAAACTAACTGCTATCTACTTTTGTACAATTTATCTTCTCATAATGTATAGACACAAGTGATAAAGTAAATCATACAGATTTTAGAGTCAAACAGATTTTAGTTTATATGACAGATCTACCACTGTATGACTTTGTCCAAGTCATGAAAGCTTTTAGAATTAACTTCAACTTCTGTGAAAAAGAAGGAAGGAACACAGTATTGAACTCACAGGACTGCTGTGAGGATTCAAAGAGCTATATACATAAAGTGCCTGGCACATAGTAGGTACTCAAACTACTTCCCTTTTCCCCTTTACTTCCCCCTCTTTGGAAAAGGAATCATATCTTACATGTCTTTGTATTTCCAACAGAGTCTACGAGAGAGTAGGTGCTCAAACTGCTATTAATCTGAAGACTATGTATACGGTCTAGTACTAAAAAAAAATGGAAAGAAGTGCTACTGAGAAAGGGAAAGACAATAACAAAAGAAGTGACAGGATTCAGTGACTTTTTAGATATGGGATAGAAATTGCTTTCTACTCCCATATCACAGAAACAGTTCTCATCAAAAAGCCAATGGCCACAACATTGCCAAACCCAGTGGACTTTTTAGTCCTTGCTTTACTTTCTGCAGCATGACACTGTTGACTACTCTCTTCTCAAAATAATTCTCTTCTCTTGGTCTCTGGCATCATATCTACAAACTCTCTGGAAGATCCTCCCTCATGGGTTCCTATCCTTCTTTCTGTTCCTTAAGTGTTAGGATTCACTGGGACTCAACAGTTGCCACCTTCTCATCATTTTTTTTCCTCAAGGCATAACCATCATAATATTATATTTATCATTTGGATACTAACTAGGTAACACTAGTACAGATTTCTCTACTATTTTCCTGACTCATATACTATATGTCTGTATTCTAAGTATCTCAAACGGAATATATCCAAATTAACTTATCTCTCCTTCCACTCCAACAAATCTGCTCCCCTTTCAGTTTTTTCCATCTCGAATTTAACCAGTGGGCTAATCTAAAACCGCTAATCCTCTAGTCTTCTCCCCCCCCCACAATTCTCTCCAAGTTTCCCAGAAAGTCCTATTGACTCTGCCACCTAGGCATATCCACAACTCAGTAGCTACTACCCTAGTCCAAATCAAGCCCCTTCCATTTCTTACAGGTTTTTTTTTTTTTTAAACTTAGAAACCTACTTCTCATAATTCCAAAATCTGGAAAATTCTGAGATAGAGCTACCAGCAGAATAGGAATCTAGTGAAAGCCAGTGCTCTGGCTTATAGATGGTACCTGCTTCTATCCTGGCATCACTCCAATCTGTCGTCCACATTAGAGATACAGTGATGCCTCCATATTGCTGAGTTTTATACCATTCTTTTAAAATAGCCTGTCTGTACATGGATAATTACATTCACTGAGAAGAGGGCCAGAATGGTAACCTCAGAAATACTAATATTAGTTGTCTCTAGGAAACTGACTTCACAATGAAAAACAAAATAGACTTTTTATACTTAAATAGTGTTTGAAGCTTTCGTATTATTTTGAATTAAAAATGTAGCTCTGATCATGTTACTTTTTTATGCTCCTTCTTTATTGTTTAAAATTATCTTGTAGGTTGACTATCTTTCTTGGTTATAAGACATTTTACATATAAATCCCATTTCCTGCTCCCCTGTTATATGCTTTATTCCTTGTGTGTCCCTTTGGTTCTCCTATAATCTTCCTGCTCTGTTACCATGAGAGCAACTGAAAACCATAAAGAACAGAGCTTTGGGGAATCATATACACTTAAGGGCAGAAAGAAGGAAACATTACGATAAAGACTATATATTTTAAAAGCAGGGAGGGGTGGTTAAAGATAAAGGAAAGAAATCAGGGCAATAAAGTATTAAAGAAAAAGCCAAGAGAATAGAATTTTGAGAAGATAGGAAATCTTGGAGTTGTCAACAGTGTTTGATACTAAAATACTTCATAATCATTTTAGTGACAAATTTACCATCCCAATAAACACATTTGAACAGCTACCTAATAAATTAATTACCTTATTTTTTTTCTTTACTTCAAATTTCAAACTGCAGGAAGCTTTAAATTTAACAATAAAACTTGACTTTTTTCAGGAATGACTAACCAGGAAAACACTAACACATTAAAGTCAAACAACATTTTTAAAGTAGTACTTTTTTTACTACTTTTAAAGAAAATCGGTAACTGCATCAAAAGGGATTAACAAATAAAAAGCAATGTACTACATATAATCTGAACTAGTCTACACATTTAGCAACAAACACAGACCTTTCTTCATTAGTGATAAACCAGCTAATAATGATATGCTAAAACATTAATATCAACATTTTTCATTATATTTTACTACTTTTAAGGAAAAGCCCCATTCCACTGACAGTATCTGGCAAGAGACACTTCTAGATATATACTTGTTGAATAAATAGCCTATTGTAATGAGTAGGATTATATAATTTGCAAAATTATGCTTATAATGATGCTGCTGGATTATGCCAAAACTATTTATAGCAGTTTCAATAATTCTGAAAATCTTGCTGTAAGACTGTTCATTGGATTCAGGGTAATAAACCAACTCTGCTGATCAGTTAGAAATGGAAATATCAGTGGTAGAGAAAAGATGCTTCAAGTATTTAAAATATGAAGAAAAGGAATTGAGCAGTATAATACAGAAAGGCTGTGTCATAATAAAAAGAAGAGCCCAGACTAATATCCCAACTGATACTTACTAGCTGAATATTAATTTTTAAGTTACACTTTCATTATCTATTAGAATAAAAGTAATATGAAAGCTAAAGTAAATGAGAGCAGGAATAAGCATCCTTACTCTAGCAAAACCCACACAGATACTAGGGCTATATATTTAATCTGGAACAGCAAAAGTTACATATATCAAATCAAGACACAGAAAAATATTTGGACAAGTACACTTTCTAGAGGCTAGATTCCAACTCTACAAGTGTGACAAGCCATAGGATACTATCTTGACCAAGACTTTTGACATTAACTTAGATACTGTATACAATATAAAACTATATAACTATGAAGGATGGCAAATATATTAGGTGAGAGAGTAAGTAGCTAAAATGAAAATAGGAACTCCTTTTTATTATGCATAAGAAAACTGCAACTCAGTGACTTGGATTCCAAAATAAAGAAATATGAGCCACTTAACGTAATGATTTAAAGTTCACATTATGAACTGTATAAGAGCAGCAAAGTATGTGCATGCTTTAATAAAATACATGCAAAGATGAATTGAAACTTTTATTATGGTTCAGTAAAATGAAGGTTGCTCCAAAACAAGAAGGTGGGATTTCACCATGCTAACAGCAAAGTAGTGCCCAAAATAAGAGATGTAGTAGTCCTGCCCTGCTCTAATTGGACCACATCTGCATTCATGTCTTATAAGAAAAATACAGACAAGTTTTAACAAGTCCTTAAAAGCATTCACAATTATGTCAAATGAGGAACCAGAGTTTAAGGTAAGGATAACAAAAGTTAGGAGATAAGTAAGATAAACTGAGATACTGCGTATTCTCAAATATTTGTAGAGAACAGAAAAGAAAGAAAAATAGACTTGTGACTCTACCTAGAAAATAGCTTTTTAATCATCAAGTTTCTGCTCAAGTTATGGAAGTCTACATTATATGGCAAGCCTAAAACAGAAATAAAGTTCCTTCTCCTTTGCCTCTCAACGTCTGGAGCATAATGTGCTTGAAAGATGTTTATTATTCTTGAAACCGATTGGAACACCTTTATAGAACAATGCTAACTTATCACTAAAAGTACTGAAGGTGCCAGAAACCCAAATTGGAATCTCTGAAGGCTAGATAGAACAATGCCTTCCTTACCCAGAAGCCAAGAACAAAGACAGACTTCAGAAATGCTTAGATGCTTCAGAAAGAAATAGCAATCTGCTTCAGAGTAAGGTACTCCCAGGATTTTAGACTCATTGTCTGGTAGCCATGATAGGCCAGAAATCTATTTTTGGTTGTCAGCCTAGTCTTTAACAGCCGAGCCATCCCCCTCCAGCCCAGCTCAGAAGTCTATACTAACATTCCAGCCATTCAGGTCTAATAAGGTATTTCCCAACTCAGAGTAGATGATCCAAAGAGAAGAATATATAAAGAAAGTATAAAGCAAGAGAAATGGCAGAATGCAGAACTCCTTATTATCCCCAGGTTTTCCTTTTAATAAGGACAAGGACTTATTAGAAACATCTTAGGTTTTACTGTACGCTAAATTAATACCTACGATTTTCTCCTTTGTATGAAAAGTTATAATAAACAAGCATTCTCCCCACAAAATAAGCAGACAAAGGGTCCCTATTCTTGCCTAAGAAACAGCAGGATACACAAAAAGTTAGCTAAGAGCATCCCTCTTTGCAAGCAACCTAGAAAGGAAGGCAGCTCCCAAGAATAGTGAGCAATAATAACCAGAATTAGGCCACGCAGTCTGAGGAAAAATGCAAAAAGGGAAAGCATGCTCCAAAGCAAATTCATCAACCTGTGCATTCCCAAGCTGCTGCAATCAAGTGTGTTATGCGTATTATTAATAGCCAAGGTCACCTCACTTTACAATTAGATGAAACATCTTACTTGTTGCACCAAGGCGACGTGTGTCTCTGGCAATATAATTTGCAAAGATAATAGACCTCATGCTGGTCTTACCAGATCCACTTTTACCCATCAACAGCACCTGAGGACAAAGGATAAAAATTAGCAATCTAGAGCAAATCTAGTATAAAGGGATCCATTTTTCCTCTGTGCTTGGCATTTACAGAAGTGAAAGTACCAATGACCAGTAAGGGTATCAGTAATTAATTAAACACTTCCCCAAACAACATTCCAAATGCCAAACACTTACCTGCTACAAGTTACACATCATTCTAGGAATACAACAGCAGTGTTTGTTATTGTATATAATATTTTAAAGCTTTCTTTTTTATTCTTTTAATTATGTGTGTGTGGGGGGGTATGTGTACAGGAATACAAGTGTCACAGATGTGAAGTCTCCTAGGAGTTGTAAGGAGTTGTAATGACAAGCTACCTGATGTGGGTGCAGGGAATCAAACTTGATCTCAGGAAGGGCACTATGTGATCCATCACTGCAGCTCCTTATTATACATAATAATTATTTAGAACTACACTAATAAAATATCATCTTGCTGGGCACTGATGGCACATGCCTTTAATCTCAGCACTTGGGAGGCAGAGGCAGGCAGATTTCTGAGTTCAAGGACAGCCTGGTCCAGGACAGCTAAGACTGTTACACAGAGAAACTCTGCCTTGAAAAAAAAATCTTGCTGCAGAGATGGCTCAGTGGGTAATAGCACTGGCTACTCTTCAGAGGACCCAGGTTCAATACACAGTACCTACATGGTAGCTAACAACTGTCTATAACTCCAATTCCAAGAGATCTGACACCTTCACAAAACAACAGATACGTAAGACACCAATGCACATAAAAATAATTAAAAAAGAATGCTACCATTTTAATAGGAAACTAACCCTATTCTCCTACAATGCAAAATTATATATGCATTGGCCCAACTAGCAGATTTCAGAATAACTGAAAAGCTCCTCCTATTTCTCTGTTCTAGATCTTTTTTTTTTTTTTCATTTCAGCCCATGATCACTTTCACACACTTCTACGACTTTTTTTCATCAGTTTCTGTCAGTCCTTTTTAACTTTCGTATGTCCTACAAAATTGGGCACTTAAATTACACATAAGACCATTCTCAGTTTAGCTTATCTACTTCTGTCTTTATCTCTGCTTCTCCTAGCCTGGAACTTTTAGCACCTGACATAAAGTCTCAGTTTCCAGCCCTGTAGGGAGCCCTGACTCTATGCCTGTATTCACGCTGTAATTTTTTATTTTACATGTCAATCCCAGTTCCCTCTCCTTCTCTCCCATGCCCCCGACACCCCTTCCCATCCAACCCCCCCTACTTTTCTTTTTTTGTTTGTTTTTCAAGACAAGGTTTCTCTGTGTAGCTTTGGAGTCTGTCCTAGAACTCACTCTGTAGATCAGGCTGGCCTCAAACTCACAGAGATCCACCTATCTCCTGAGTGCTAGAATTAAAGGAGTTAACCACAGCTCAGCAAATTTATCCTTCTTGCAACTAAGCCCCACTTATCCTTCAACACTTGGTTCAACAATCATCTCCAGAATTTTCTCTGGAGCTGTGGATATAGCTCAGTACTATGGCATTTACCTAATATAAGTGAAATCCTGCTCCCCATAGTTTCTCTGATCCAAATGCCTTAGGCCAGTGGTTCTCAACCTGTGGGTCATGACCCCTATGAGAATGTTCAAAGGACCTTTTTAGAGATTGCCTAAAACTACTAGAAAACACAGATATCTACACTATGATTCATAAAAGTAGCAAAAATCACAATTATTAAGTAGTGATGAAAATAATTTTATGATTGGATGTCACCATATTAAAGGGTCACAGAATTAGGAAGGTTAAGAACTGCTGACTTAGGTATCTTGCCTGCCCTCTAGTGGTACTACTATATCATTGCAAACCACAAAGCTCTGCAGTCCCTTGTTTCAGGAATTCTCTCAGAAGTCTGTTGAAGGGCAGAGGGAGGTATCTTTGTATCCTTTGTATCTCCAGTGCCTACTATGTAACAAAAGCTTGAAGTATGTTCATCAAAAGAATGAACAAGCCATTAAAACCAAAATGCACTGATAAATGTCTGAAAGCAAGACCTTAGAGCCTTGGAGTCATCTTTCTTGTGTTAAAATAAGAAAGACACCTGTGAACAACACCATATATTTTTGCACTAAATGACTTCCAAAGAGTCATTTTAAACACAAGTTTGTGAAATACAGTTCTGAAAACGATCCCCTTTTCAAATGAAAGGTATATCTATTCCCTATTCTACCTCCAATTCCAATGTATTTTATTGAAATATCTGATTAAACATATAAGAGACATTAATAAAAACATACTAAAGATATCTAAAGTTAATATGGAAGTTTTCCCTGTCCTTTGCAAAACATTTAATTGAAAACAATAACTATATATTTCTGGGTATACAAATTGATTCTTTAAATGAATGTACATTGTGGAATGTTTAAATCAAATAAAAATTTGTCCTTTTTCCTCTTTTCACAGTTCTTTAAGTTTTTCATTGTATCTAATTTTTCCTTCTAATCAAGTAGAGATTTATGGAATTTTAGGCATCCTTGATAGCAACTTCAAACATTTTATCAAAAATGTCCTCCTAGCAAACTTAAGACACAGAATTAGATTTTGGGTGAAGTAAGGCTAAGAATATTAGACCTTTTCATAAAAAGGCAAGGATAATTATGTTTGTGTTCTACAGGGAGTTCCTCACGTTATGTTTCTAATAATCCTCTGAGGATTATTAATACTTTACCAATGACACTAAATCCCAAAAAGGTCAAGAAATTTGCTTCAGAGCTATATTCCTAAGGATACTAAGTCCCAATAAAAGTACAAAGCAAAGGATATCCAACTCCAGCTAGCACAACCCATGTAACATTTGAGTTAAAGAATCAAGTGCACACAGAGGTCTGTGTAATATTTGTATATGGCTTGACTCCATGACATTAATTTTAGACAAAATGAATCTGGCATTAAATAAAGGGATGAGAGTCTGAAAGACCATACAGGTTATTGACATAGTCCAGGAAAAGACAGATTTCCTGAACTGTAACTTACCTTTTTCTTCATGTTTCTAATATACCTAACACATCTTACCTTTTTCTTCATGGCTGCATTTGGCATTGCCCACCTGTAGATATAAACCAAAAGACAGTGTTTCCATGATCTAATTGACTTAGAAATAAAACAAAAAGTAAATGGAGAGAAGCAGAACAGTATTGTTTAAAACAGCTAAGTACGTATGAGACCTCATTTCAGAAGTCTTCATTTTCATAAATTATAAAACTATGTTTGTGTTCCCTGTTTCCTTCACCAGCTCAGGACATGCTTCCTAGGAAGACATATTTGGAAATATAAACCACTTAAATTCAAGATTTGATATTTTGTCATAAAACTAACGCATTACTCTGGGCACTTTTATAAATCAAAGGGCATTTTCATATTTGAGTACTATTTTTTTAAATTCAGCTCCTCATTCTTCAAATCTGGAAGCATCTTTGGACCTTCAATCGTCCTTCCAAGCTGCATTTCATTCATTAAAGGCCCCAAGTACATATAACGCAGTTCTCAAACAGGCATATCGGACTATACGTCATTGGTCAGTAAATGTCTGTCCTCTCCCTCTTATTATCACTAACACCGTGGTATCACCAAATCACCTTTATAGAAAACGAAAAACAACTCAGAAGTATCTCAATTAGAACACTACGCACATACCAAAAATCTCAGCTCCAGGCAAAGAGCTGCTTCTGTTCTCTGTTTTTGTTTTCTATCATCAAGGGCATGCTACCAAGCAACCACACTAGTAAATTAAAGCAATTTATCACTGGAGATTAGCGGTTGTTGCATTTCACAGTACTCTTTACAATTAGCACACCCTCCCTCCTAGATACTGCATAATACCCTTCACCCACCCAAGCGATCCTTCCGGTTCCCCGAGTGGAGGCTCCACTCTGGGGCCCAGATTCTCTTTCTCCGTCTTTTTCTCGGAGTCAGATTCTTCCATCGCGCAACAAGTTCTTCACAGTGCCCTCTAAATCCGCAGTACTCTTTTCTTCTGGCTCACCTCAACTGCCTATGCACACCGCCCGCGGCCCTCAGGGCCTGCTCTATCCCTGCCTCCGCCTTTGTCCACTGGGGGGCCGCTTTTCCCACAGTTACCTTTACCGACCCGAACTTAGTCTCCAGGCACGGCCAAGCAGGCCAGCCCAAAGGAACGGGCGATTCGGTGCGTGCAAAGGAAGAGATGCAGGGGAGGGCAGGGTGGATGAGGAGTTGGTCCCTAGTTTGGGCCTCGCTCCAAAGATAACTTGGCCCTCCTCCGTGCAGCCCGCGAAGGCTGGGGTAATGGAATGAGCTGACCCGAGCTGCAGAAGCAAAGCGGTCACCGCCTGGTGGCTCTTCCCGACCTCGCCGCCAGTAAGAATCTGCCTGAGGCCGCCTTTACTTCCGCGCCGCCCTGCAGGAGCGCAGAAACCTCACTGCAGCCACGCTACTGCAGGCCAGGATCACGTGGGAACCTGCCGTAGTCCCAGGCTTGTCACGTGCAGCTACCCTGGGGGGCTGCGGGGAAGCCGGGAAGAATACCATAGAGACTGCTCTAGGAAAGCCAGAGTGCCGCCTGCAGTCACGTGGTCCAGGCTCTCATTTCCGCGCCACAGGCCCTTAAGGCGGCCTGCAGGCACCGGGAACCTGGAGGCTGGCGGATGGCCCCGCCCACCGGCTGCTCAGTCTTAAAGGAGAATGTTGCAATTTCAGTACCTACAAGCTACCTGTTCTCACTGCTGCTGATGCATAGGGATGTGTGTAGAAAAGGCTATTGTTGTAGCTTTTCCTTCCGATAATTTAAAAATTACTGCATCTAAAGTACTTTAAACTGTTTTTCACATAGAAAACTCTCAAGTTTGTTATTGCCAGTGAAAGACCCCCACTATGCTTATTGCCTGCTTGAGCTGCTCCCATTAATTGCCAAGGTCAAGTTATGAGAAAAGTACAGGAGGGAACTAGGTGCTGCTCTCATCCAACGCCAACCAGATATCTGTGGTCTGCAGCTTGGACTAAAGCAAGGTCAGCAGGAGAGTGTCCAGTATGCTGAGATAGTCATAACTGAATTCTTTGTATTCTTTGTGCCCAATCCGAATAACCAACTGTCCTTGGTTAACTACAACTGCTACATTTAGATGAAACAATGAAATCCCTGTAACCATGCTTCTGCTTCTGTAAGCCTGCTTCTTGCCACACCAACCTTATATAAACTGCATATGCTTTAACCAGGCACACTCACTCAATCTCCCGAAAGATTGAAGCGTCCACAGGTACCTGTGTGTAAACAATAAATAACCTCTTGCACTTGCATCCAGTGGTCCGGTCTCTTCTCTTGGGGGCAAGGGCCTTCCCCCTGACAGGCTCCAAACTCTTGGGGTCTGCTGCGGTCTTTCACCAGGACCAGAAACACTTCACAGGGTTTAACACATTCACCACTTAACTTTGAAAAAATTTGCAAATGTATTTTTAAAATTTCTGATTAACGTGTAATACTTGTTTATACAGGAATTGGTGGGGAAAATAAATTCTCATAGGAGACTATATTCTCATAAGAGGTTTGGAAGGTATAAAACTATTTAACAGACCATGCTTATTATATTCAAGGACAAAAACTGCAAGAAACAAGATGCCATTTAAGAATCCAAAGAATTGCCAGGTGGTGTTGGCACACACCTTTAATCCCAGCACTTGGGAGGCAGAGGCAGGCACCTCTGTGAGTTTGAGACCAGCCTGGTCTACAACCTGTTCCAGGACAGGCTTCAAAGCTGCACAGTGTAACCCTGACTCAAAAAACAAACAAAATAATTTGAAAAATTGCTTTGGAGAGCTGAGAGTAAGATATGACATAAAAGGACTATTATTTTTCATCTTTAAATCCTTATGCACACATTAGTTTGATAAGCAAAGGAAGCAAAGAAAAAAGCCTGTCATTAAAGCACTCCATTAATCCCAGCACTTGTGAGACAGAGGCAGCTGGATCTCTGTGAGTTCGAGGCTAGCCTGGTATTCAAAGCTACACTGAGAAACCCTGTCTCAAACCCTCCCCCCCCCAAAAAAAAGAAAGAAAAGAAGGAAATCCAAAAGAAGAAAGAAAAGAAGGGAAGGAAGACAGGAAGCAAACGTGTTCCCAGCTCCCACCAACCCTAGCTGAGGTCTTATATGGTCCCTTTTCTCCACAGCTTCCATGCCTCATGAAAATACTCTATTGTGATTACTCTTTCTTCACTAGCAAATTGACTTCCTCCTCTCATCAAACATCAGCTGTCAAAATTGGGCGGAGAAGGACCCAGCAATGACCAAAACAAACAAACAAAAAATAGGATATAACAGTATGCCATCTACAACTACCTTTAGACATAAAAAATAAAAATACATGTAGATCAAAGGAATATAGATAGTAAAACATATTCCATGCAAATAGCCAAAACTAAGCTGGGATGAGCACACTAATAGCTGATTAAAATGACATTATATCAAACCTAAAACTCAAACTTTGAATACAATTATGAAGGAGCCATTTTACAATGATAAACAAGTGTATTTATCAAGAGTATATAGCAAATATAAATGTATATTCACTAAACATCTCCTAAATATATGAGATGAATGTCTGCAGAACTGGAGAAAGAAACAGACAAGTTCAAATAAATAGCAATTATAGACTTAAATACTTTGTTTTAAAAGCAGATTAAACAATCACATAGAAGATTATGAGAAAATGAACTTGAGAGAAACTGAGGACCACCTGGGCATAACAAAAATATGTAGAATATTCTACCCAACAAAGTCAGAAATGTTCATTTTTTTTTTACTTGACTAGTGTCAGTTAAAAAAAAAATACCTATGGTGTGACATTTTCCTTTTGTTTTCTTCTTTGTTTGTACTGTGTCTGTATGTGAATTCCTGTTACCACTGTGATAATCTTGATGCTTTTTCAGCTTTACCTCTAGTGTTATCTTTATAGCTTTTTACATGTAAACCTATGTCTGTTAAATTATTACTTATTAGAAAATAACTTTTAACTTCCGCTTGAAATGTGGGGGCATGTAATTATTAGCTGTTTTGCCTGTTGTGTTATATTGTCCTTAGTTTTTCTAGTGTTCAAATTTACTTGTTTAAATTAACTGCGCTGTTTTTGTTTTTGTTTTTGATACAGGGTCTCACTGTATTGCCCAAGCTGATTTTGAAGCCATCTTCCTGCCTCTGTCCTCCAGGTACCTGGAACTACAGGGATGTATTACCATGCCCAGTTAAGCACACATTTTTAAATAATGTATTTGTTGGTACTTGATTTAGTTTCTGTCCTTGCCCTTTTGTAGAGTGTTGAGACCAGGATATATGTCCCACTCAAAGTTACTCTGTCTTGCATACAATAATGGTTTTCCAAGTGTAGCTGTCCCTATGTAGATCACAATATAAACCATCTGTTAGGTTCTACCCATTGAACTCAGACTAATGAATAACTTATTCCTGGAACTAGAAAACAAGGTACCCTATACATTTATTGGGGTAAACTGAGATTGTAAGTGTACATGACCTTAAAATCCTATCAGAGAAACCATGCCCAAGAATTCATCAGACATTTCAGACCATATGACTGTGACTACTTCTCATGGACCACATAAAGTAGACATCTAACACTGTGATGGCACAGTTCTGCGAGTGCATCTAGGATCAGTAAGCCGAGAATTCCACAACTATATCATGAATTTCAACTATGTTTGGAATCCTGCTATTGACATGATTTACTCCACTATCTCTCCAACTGTTTATCTGCCCCTCAGAACTGAAGTTTACTTTTCCTGTTCTTAGACTCTGGAGTGGCCTTTTACTTCACAGGTGGAGTCTGTATCCTTGTTCTCTGACCCTGATTCCAGCTGCTCTCACAGCAGGTCTCTGCTGGTACAGGTCTAGATTATCATCTTATTAAGGAAGCCACTATTCCAGTCTAAGTATTAAAGCTTTTGAGCTCCACTGCAGCCTTTATTCCTTGTGTTCATTCTGTAATCCATATGCATATGGATATATTTAATGTGTGCTGTGTGACATGAGCATTAATCTTACCAATTAAGTTTGGGAAAACGAACAGGATCTTACACTTGCCTAGGCCAGATTGCCAGAATAGATAGGATTATCTGACATAGCTGCCACTGAAACCTTATAAATGTATTGCTATTCAACAAATTATGAGATTGTGGAAAGACACAGATGTATTTGTCTATATTTCTAACATTATACACTCATTACAAAAGGTATCATGCAGGATATTAACTTATAATTTTGTTTTCTTTTTGGGAAGGGCATGCCATGGTGTGCCCATAGAAGTCAGAGAACAACTTTTAGAAGTTAGTACTCTCACATGGATTGAACTCAGGTCTTCAGGCTTAGCCACAAACACCTATGCCTGCTGAGCTGTCTCTCACCTCCATCCTTTCCCTCCCACACTGTGCCAAAAGTTATCTTTTTAAAGGTTAAACAGATCCTGCCACTCTTTGGCTTAATACTCTTTAGTTGCCTATTTTAAGTGAACTGTCAATCAGCTCTCTCATCTCTTCTCCCCAGGCCTAGATCAGCAAGTTTCAGCCTCAGTGGCCTAAGAGTTTCTCATTCTTTGAACTCTCTTAAATGCTACCTCATGGAAACAGGCTAGAAAAAGGAGCTGCATATGTTGGTGTTCTGTTAAAAGATGGAATTGGCCAGTCACAGTTTTGAATGCCATTCCCTCTGCTTTTGCAATGGCCTCAGCTTTCTCAACTGATGTCCTCAGTAATGTCCTCCCAAGGCCTTCCAGACCCACATTCTATTAGAGTAGGATAGTCCTTTGTACCTCCAGTAGTTAATTTCTACCATATGCCTTTTATTTAATAATATTTCTTTTTTCTTTTACTGTTGAGATTATACTATAATTATATCATTTCTACTTTCCCCTCTCTCTCTTCAAACCCTCTCATATAACCCTCCATGCTCTCTTTCAAATTTATGTCTTCCTTTTTCACTGATTGTTGTTATATGCACATATATATTCCTAAATACTACCTGCTCAGTTTGTGTAATTTCAGGGCTGACCATTTGGTATTGGATAACCAATCAGCGCGTTCTTCCCTAAGGAAGAACTTTCCTTAGTTGTGTAGAATGCCCTGACATATTAATAATCTTGTTTATTCACCTCTGAGTACAAAATTTCTATTTAAATTCTGTGAGAACAAGCACTTACTTTAAAAAAAATGTTCTGCTTGAGCCAGGCATTGATGGTGCACACTTTTAATCCCAGCACTCTGGAGGCAGAGGCAGGCAGATCTCTGTCTGTTTGAGGCCAGCCTGGTCTATAGAGCTAGTTCCAGGACAGGCTCCAAAGCAATACAGAGAAACCCTGTCTCAGGAAAAAAAATCTGCTATACAGTAGATTCATAGACCAGAAACCAGAATGTGGGTATATACTTGGTATTTACTGAGTACTTTTTATAAAGATAGGGACAAATACATTAAAATGGAAAAAATTCTGATTAGTAGCAGAAACAAGGAAAAGGCATGACAACCAATCAGTCTTTAGCACCCAAAATACCTTCTGTATTTTGAGAATGAGAATGCTTAAAGCCAATGAAAAAAGAACAAATGATTGTCACAAAAATTCTGGAGGGGCAAAGGAGAGGAAGCCAGAGCACAACTAGGAAAATTCTTTATAGATAGAAGACAAAACTATGGAGCTAAGTATTAAAGGAGACAACAATAGTCATGGACATCAATCAAAGTGTAAAAATCTGTGTTAGGTCATGTATATGAGGAACCTCCCTCCTGTTGTAGTTCATTAAGTGTTGTAGAAGCAAGGCCATTTTCTGAAAATGAATGCAGATGAGACTTACAGAAATTGGAGATGTTAGCCTTTTGAGGAATAAGCAAATGAACTGCATAGAGAAACACGGCACAAGGATTTCTGTTCAGTATTGAAAGAACAATTAAGGCTGGAAATAGGAAGATACTATGGCCCTCATAAATGGATTAGTTTTAGGGTGTGGGTCTTGCTCTAGATGTAATCAACAACCTTAGTGGAGATGCTTATAAAACAGAACTGGGTGTGATCTCTGAACCTCCTTCCAGGGCTTTTGAAGGTTGACTAGGGAACAAGGATAAGGAGTCCAGGAAGTTATAAACACTCATCTTCATATATTCATTGGATGCTAGTGTGGATTATGAAAAATCTAAATACTTCATAAATTTGGTTTTGTTAAAAGGCCAAGGAATTTAACAAGTGGGAAAAGAGCTAAATTGGGATTGCTTTTAAGTGAAATACTGCGATGGTTTGAATAACATTTTCCCCCGCCCCCATAGGCTCAAGCATTTGTTCCCTAATTGGTGGTTTTGTTTGGGAAAGTTTAGGAGCTATGGTCTTGTTGGAGGAAGAATATCACTGAGAGCAGCATTTGAGAGTTTAAAATCCTGCACCATTTCTCGTTGCTCTCTCTACCTCATGCCTGTGAGCTCTCAGCATCCTGCATCAGCCACCAGCTATTTGCTGTCATGCTTCCCTGCTATAACGGAGTCTTATCCCTCTGGAACAGTAAACTGAATCAACTCTTCCTTCTCTAAGGTGTCTTGCTCATTGTATTTCATCAAAGCAATAGAAAAGCAACTAACAGAAATGTTTGAAGAACAGAAGACCAATTGTCTATTTAACAGAATAGTGGCTATACTAGTATCTGGTAAACTAGATGAAGTCTGAGACAAAATGGTCATTATATCACAATAGAGGCATCAACTCCTCAAGAATATATAACAGTTTTAAGTTGGCAGGTATGCAACACACTATTACTCAGGTAGATAAAGCAAATATGAATGGCTCTAAAGCAAAAGAGAGATCGTAGTACGTTAACATGGAATTTCAATACCACACTTTGCAAAATAAACAGATCATCCAGACAAAGTAAGTTAAGACTTGAAATACACTTCTACCAAATGGACTTGATAGACATGTTAGAGTATTCCACAAAATAGCACAATAGATATTTTCTCAACTTGACTTGAAAAATTGCTCCAGGATAGAGCTGTATTATGTCACAAGATATAAGAAATTTAAAGATTATAATTGTATTGTTTCTTTTCTGACCACTATGACACCAGAAATAAGTAACCGAAAGTTGTAAAATCCATAAATATATGAAAATTAAACAATGTATTCATGACTATACAATGAATAAAGAAGAAATTACAGGAAAAAACTAAAATGTTTATAGGAAAAAATGCTGCTGGGCAGGCAGTTCTCTGTGAATTCAAGGCCAACCTGGTCTACAGAGTTAGTTCCAGGACCGCCAAAGCTACACAGAGAAACCCTGTTTCGAACTCGCCCCCCCCACCCCCCAAAAAAAGAAAAATGCCTACATTAAAGAGAAAGTGTTCAAATCAACAAGGCAAAACAACCCAAATGCTCCTTCTCACGTAATTACAAAAAGAAAAAATCCAACCTGGCCTTTGCAAGGGTCTACATGCAGCTGGCCATCCCCCTGGTGTTACAGGGCAAACCTGATCTCCTGGTTTAGGAAGGTGGTATTTGAAATCCCTGCTGTGTTACATCACACATATCCTACAATGCAGGCCACTAAATGGCTTGGTTCATAGGCACTCTAATTGACAGATTGGGTTTAGGCAGCTAATCCCCTAGCCAGAGCAATAGGTTCTTTGGGTTCCCACAGAGGGGGAGAATGCAGGAATTTCAGACCCATTAAATAGCCAGTTCACACAATAGCCCCTTGTTGAGATAACTTCTGGCTCCAGCACCCCGGTGGCTCACTGGGAGATGAAGTAAGCTCCTTTCCCAAAGCTAGGTTACTGTGTAGTTTTCACATTATTTGTAGAAGTGAACTGCAATTATGTGAGGACTTTGGCTCTTACTAGTAGCTTGAATCACCAGCATCTACACTGGGGAGAGTTTACTGGGAATGTGCCTCTTCCCTGTGAAGGGAAGAATCTACCTCCTCCAGCTGTGAAGCTTGAGTAGCATACACAAGGATGTATTGTTTCTCTTTCTATGATGTTAGGTCTACGAATATTAGATGTTATACCATCCTCTTGTTGACTTTTTGCCATAGGTATTCATCTCAGAATGCAGCTATAAATCTTTGTTCTCTTTATGGAGAGAGAAGTCAATTGAGTAATTTAATTCACCCATCTTGGTTTTCAAAGTTAAAACAGTTAAATTCTTTTGTCTCTTTGTCTGACTCCTCCAGGAATTGGATAGGCTTACTGAATCTAATTATGCAAATTATCAGGTAACTATTGGCATAAGAATAGGCAACAAGAGTCTCTCCTCACTCATTTGTTACCTGGATATAATTGGACAGTTGTTATATTGTTAAGGGTTCAACTGCTACATCATATTTAAGAACTATACTCATTTAATTTCATGAGACCAGGCAGTTTTAGAGACCTAAGTGAGCTTCATTTGAAAAAATAATAAAGAATAGCTACATTAGAGTCGCACATACAAGGGAAAGGGTTCTGAGCTTCAGCCCAGCATCTTTCACTTGGAAGTCTTAATTTTGTGAAAACCAAGAAACAAACATCAACTCCTTTAGCTAGAAAAAATTTATTAATTCCAGAGTGTTCTGTCAACATTTTCAAAGTAACTAGGATACAATTACCTTCAGAAATAATTTTGTCTGATTATGCAGCCTTTGCCATTCAACCTAAACAGTTTTGTGTTTACTGTAGTAAATCATTAAAATGTAAAGACTCCCTTCTTTAGTCATGTTAAATTAGCTGCTTTTGTATTATACAGACATGTGTATACTCTCATCAAATACTTGTCAACTAAATTTATACTTAAAAGCTATTTTCTAAACGTTGGCATATATTTAAAATGCATTAACACAAAAGGCAAAAAAAAAAAAAAAAAAAAAAACAAATAAAAGCCCACACTAAGTTTCATGAACTTAGTACCTACAAAAATGAATTTTAAAATTAGAAAGCCAAAGGCTAAAATATTTGTTATTTTGATATTTAGTTTGTGCTTTTTAGCAATGTACAAATTACGTTCTTAGTTTTGTAGAGCCTTCAACACCAAAGTACAACTTATAAGCTGTTTGGTTATTTTTAATACACTGGCTCCAGACACTAGTATATCTGTGTTCTTAGAATTCACCAGATACCTGGTTAACACTATTCACACTGTTGTCCCTATAATATTTTTCTTCCTCAGTATATGTGCTCAGCAAATTTCAATTTATTCTTCAAAACTAACTCAAAAGGCACTTCATTTTTAATGCTTTCCTGTTTTCAGGAAGGATGTCTCCCTGTTTCCATGGCAACTTCACACCTCTATTTAATTACACATAAATTATCTAGGCCTCACAAATATGTGTTTGCTTTTTATCTTTAACACTTAAGATGGATCTTACATTTCCTCAAATAAAGCTTGGTGAAAAACACAAATGAGCACCCATACATTGTCATCAAAACGCTTAGGTTAATACAGAAGCAATTTAAGGACTTTCAATAGTCAAACAAACAACAGCTGCCTGCATTTATCACTACTGGAGCTGGATAGCAAGAGAACAAAGCTGTTAAGTCTAGGACTAGAAAGAGAAAAGTGAAGCTCTGAAGGATAAAGTAGGTCACTCCAAAAGAAGAAACTACAATCAATGAATGGTAGAGGGGGATATTTAAATCTCCACACTTCAAAATCAAGTCTAGTTCTCTTTATGCACACATATCTTCACATGGCACACAAGGTGCCCATAGCCTGGGTTTATTTTGTTTTCGTTCTTTAGATTTCATGGTTTACTCCAATAAACATAACATTCTCATCTAGCCTTAGTTTGCCTGTTATGTTCCTAAGACTTTCTGTCTCTGCTCAAAGCATAGAGCAATTGCAGCTATTGTGGAACTTTCCATCATTCCACATCTGAATTTCATCTCTGCCTTGTCTGCAGTCACCTCTGACTACTTAACAGTGGCTAGAAACAGACTTGGCACTAATCAAACAAGGTAGGGTTACGGATGAGTAAAGGTTAGTCCGGTACAGTAAGCAGGGCAGTGTTCCAGAAAGTGAGCAATTAGACTTCAAAAAGGAAAGAGGAGGCTGGGGAGATGGCTCAGCAGTTAAAAGTGCTTGCCATGCAAGCAAGAGGACCTGTGTTCAGATCCCCAGAGCCAAACTGAGTGGGCATGAGGAGCTGCCTACAATCTGAGCCTTAGAAAGCAGAGATGGCACCCTAGCAAGCTGGATAGTAAGACTAATAGTATCTATATGCTCTGAGTTTGACTGAAAGACCCTGCTTCAAAGAATAAGGTGGAAGGGCAATAGAGGAAAATTCTTGATGTCAACCTTGGGCCTCCACACACATGTGCCCCCCCATGAGCATGCACTCACACACTTCCACATACCACACACACACACACACACACACACACACACACACCAAACACACACACACACACACACACACACACACACACACAGGAAGAACACATTACAGATGAAAGAGAAGGTCTATCAGCTCTGGTTGGCGCATGCACTGCTTGATGCTCTCCTTTCGAGCATAAGCCAAGACACGGGTGTCCTCCTGAAAGAAGCGGTGTCCCTCATCAGTGAGCTTCCAGATGAAAGAGCGAGGTTTGTCATCCACCTCTTCCTCAATGTCGGCTGGCACCTTTTCAAAGCAAGTTAGGGAACAGAGATTGTGACGAATGGTGTTTTTCCAGCCCTCTGGTGCTGTCCGGAAGTAGGGGAAATGTTGTCGAGTAAAATTGTAGATCTGTTGCACATTGAGGCCACAGGAAGGGCTGCTTTTTAATGCCAGAGCAACTAGATGGCTGTAGTTGAGAGGAGGGCGAGGCCAGGACTCCCTGTCCTGGTGTGGGCCATGGTACAGTGTGTGCTTCTTGGGGTGTTTGTTAGAAGATGTGCATTCCTGTTCCTCAGTCTCCTCGCCTATGATATTAGGGTTATTGGGGAAAACAGACAGCTTTTGTGGCTGACAATGCTCAGTGTGGAGAACAGACAGGGACTGGATCACTCTCTGAGTCCCTAAGAACGGAGACTCATCAATCTTTGGTACTGGTACACTTGGCAGAACTTTATGACTGGGATTTGGAGCTTCTTTGCTGTTGATGGGGCACACAATGTTGGGATTTACCCACATCCACAAGCTGGGTTCAGTGACAGGGTCGTCATCATCAGGATTGACTTTCCTCTCCTGAGGCAGCACTGGTGGCTTTAGTAGCTGAATTTTGTATTTGGCGAGACTCTGCTCAGCTAAAGAGCGCTGATCTGTGGTACAAGGCAGGAAGAATTCATTCCCCATGTCCCATTCCAACATCCCGGGGACTTGACCATGGAGACTGTACCAGAAGTCCCGATCTTTTAGCTTTACATCCATCTTTACTAGAGAGATAGACGAAGAAAAACTTCCAAACTGATAAAAGTCTCTTTGGCACTTTGTAAAGCTTCTTTGCTAGGGCACTATTTAACCCAAGATGTCTCAGCTATATTGCAATCTATCCGTAGGGCTCCTGGAAGTGTTTGAACAAGAACACTACTTCACAGATCAGAAGTCTGGCTCAGAGAAGCCTCTGCTTTCTGGAACACAGCTCAAAACAGTAACCAAGAAGATCATTTTAGCAGGAAAAATTGCAAACTGATTTTTCCAAGTGTTTTCTCACTGTTGATCCCAAAAGGCGTTTTGATAGCTCTGTAAGATAAAAGGGTGCATATCATTAACCTCATGTCATAGATATGGGAACTGACATTTATAGAATATTTGGAACAGCATACCTAAATAAATATAGGACAGCTGAATCTATACCCCTTTCTTAGCCTTTCATAATACCATGGCCTGCTGATCCCATTCAATCTATTATATAAAGTAGGCATAAAACTGAGTTGTAGAATATAACTGTACCTATGAGATGACTGCCTGCTAGACTTATACTTGTGTTATTTTCAGTTTTCTTCTGAGAATCAGCTGACTTCTGCTTCTCTAGCTTGTCTTCCTAGGCTATGGCTTCTTCTCTATACTTTAAGCACTGCACTATCAAAGGTTTGCTACATCATGTGAGAGCTTACCTTTCATGTAGGTTCATTTTAAGGAAATTTTCAATAAGAAAAATCAGGAAGGTGCTACTTAGCTGGTCTTAAAAAAATCTATAAAGTATATGATTTCCACTAAAATATTATATAGGACTATATCACAAAGGTTCCAACAAATGACCATGGCCACTACTAAAGGGCATTAATTCTCTGTGTTTTTCTGGCACTAGTTGGTGGGAAAATATTGTTCATACAAGAATCTAGAATGACTTTTCTATTGCACAAATATAAGAATTAATAACAATGATAGCATGAACTGTTAATATTTATTGAATGCTGTATGTTACATGATTTAACTCTATGAAATAAGCAATCATTCTCTCCTTACTCAGTAAATCTTCTAAGAGTAAATCGCACAATTTGATAATTGTGAAGCTGACTTTCAAAGCTAAGAAGAACATTTCTGTATCCTACAAAATAGTTATTATTTTATTATCATTGCTTCATAATTCATGTACCAGAAACACTAACCTGCTACGATTTTCACCATATCTTTTTCCCTTTGATCAAGAACTTCTCCATAGAATGCCCTGCACCCCCAAGTACCTTGTTTTAGCTAATGCCTACTCATCTTTTAAATTTTGTTTATTGTGTTTGTAAAAGAGAGACAGGGACATACACACAGAGACAGAGAAAGAGAGAGAAGTAGGGCACTCATGCCTGTAGAGATCAGAGGAAAACTTTGTGGAGTTGATTTTCTCCTTCATTTTAGGGATATATCTCAAGTCCTAGAGTTTGCATAGAAAGCACCTTTCCCTACTGAGCTGTTTTGCTGGGCCCCTACTCATCTTTTAAGGCTAAAGAAATGCTGCTTTCATCTCTGTATAAATGGATCCCTTTTACAGTGGGGCAATGGCTTGGAGAAAGCATGGGATAGAGCCTGAAATATTTAGATTTTGCCAATTGAGGACATCCCGGCAACATTTGAGCTTTAGGCGATCCATTGTTCTTTAAAGGCAAGCTCTACTGTTACAGAATGTCTCTTACATCTTTAGAGAACAGAGGCCAATTCTTAGAGTGTTTAATAAAGCTAGTTAATTACTGTGTATTCTCATGCATGCATGCACACGTGTGTGTGTGTGTGTGTGTGTGTGTGTGTGAGAGAGAGAGAGAGAGAGAGAGAGAGAGAGAGAGAGAGAGAGAGAGAGAGAGAGAGAAACACATATGCACATGCTAGACCATGGAAATAGAGGTCTGAGGACAATTTGCAGGAGTTAGCTCTTTCCTTCCCCTGGACTTCAGGTCTTCAGGCAGGGCAGCAAGTGTGGTCACCCACTGTGACATCTCAATAGCCTGTCTCTGCTGGGATCAAAGGTGTGAGCCACCACACTTAGCTCCTTCAATTTTCAAGGCACCCCTTTGCCCTGATATTGCTTCTCACCCAAATGAAATAGCAGTGTTTTGGGTCATAAGAAAAAATCCAAATAAATCCTTTCACTGTTAGAAAGCTCCTGAATTGTTTCAATAATGTCAAAGGTAGCATTAAAAGGATAGAAAAACACCTTCAAGGGACTTCCAAGGTGAAATTTTATCTTTAGTTAGTAAAACACTGAGTATATGATGATATACTCAAAACTTATGAGAAGAACAAATACATCATGGTATTTAAGATTTGTTATTTTTATATAGCAAAATGCATGAATATTTATTTTAAGCATATGCAAGTATAGATATATACTTGTTTCTATCAGTGGCCAAGCAGGAAAGAACATAGAAAAAACAATGAGTTAATCATAAATTATTTTAGAAAAAAAACAAGCACCACATCAATGGCCAATATATATGAATATATAGATTGTGTAAAGTTCAAGGGTGCCCAAGAACAGAACATAAAAATCTGTCCAATCTTGGTTTTCAAAACCAGGTGCACAAGTTCTGAGGCCGTGTCATTCAGTAGTAGCTGCCTCTTTCTGATTCATGCAGAAGAGTCATTTATTCATCAGAAACCACACACTTGTAGAGAGACTCTTGTTTCTACTTCACACATAACTAAGAACTTCTAAAAATGAGAAACACTGATGGGTACCTATAATATTCAGGTGGAAAAAAATCCAATAGTCAAAAATGTATTTTAAAGAAGAGAATAATTTAAAAAGATCCAATCCCTTATCTACAAATTTATTCAAATGAAAAGGAAATGCAAATAATGAATAAATCTGAATAAGGCTAAAAGCCTAGGTACATGGTAAGAGGGCCAGATAATGAAGATTATAAAACATGCATAAATTAAAGATTGCTTCAGTTTTGATAAAATAAAAAAAAAGTCACAAAGAAGCAGCTCTAAGAGACAGCAAATGAAATGCTGATATTAAAATATTCCCACACCACCACACACAGTTCAATATTTATGAACCTGGAAAATCAATGTTAGTCTTTTACCTTGGCAAGTCTGAGATGTTTTCTAGGTAGCTGGGTAAAGTTAATGCAATTCAAAAGTAGTAAAATCCTGAAAAGACATCAAAATAAAACAAGTATAACATTAAACAAAGGAGGAAATGTACAAGGGCAGGAATAGGAGAGCAGTAAATTAACTCCACTATCTTTGGACTTTATAATAGGTATGGTGTATTTTTAATTGTTGTATTTGTGTAGATTTAATATGCTACTCAATTGGTTTAACTTGTTTCCAAAAAAGCCACATTAAATTTATAATCACATTTTATAGCTTTTAGGATATTCAGTTCATCAAATTGATAACCAATGTTTAGATGGCCAAGAAAAAGTGGTTTAAAATAGTTCCAACTTCTGGTTTATGAGCTATTCAAATTTAATAAAGTTAAGCAGTAAACAAAACATAAATAGTAACAAAATAGCATGTACAAAATGTATTATTTTCATTGGTTTCTCTTCATAGCAATCAGATTGAAGTTAATACCCATATACCAAAATTGACAGTGTTTGTGGCTGGCAAGATGGCTCAGTTGCTAAAGACAATAGCCTTCATGGTCCCTGAGAGTCACATGATGGAAGGAAAGAATTGACTCCACGAAGATGTCCTACGACCTTCATATATACATGTGCTCTGAACATCTCCCCCCACATAAATGAATAAATAAATAAATGCAAAATGAACCCACAACAGAATTCAATTTTGAACACATTATAGTTAAGTTAGAAGCCATGCATGTAATAAATTGTAGATATTGAGGGCAAATTATTGTCATTTTATTCATCAACTTTTCTCTGCCATGCCATACTAAGTTTCCTCATCTATGATACAAACATAATAAAAAATTCACCCTACTAGGTGGGGGTGGCGCACACCTTTAATCCTAGTACTCAGGAGGCAGAGGCAGGTGGATCTGTGAATTCGAGGGCAGCCTGGTCTACAGACACATTCAGGATATCCAGGGCTGTAAAGAGAAACTTCATCTCAAACAAACAAACAAACAAACACAAGAAAAGAAAAGAAAGAAACTTACCCCAAATGGTCACTGATACAAAATGAAATAATGTAATTTAATTTATAGTATATATCAATACCTAATTTTAATGTTTGACACATGAAGTTCCATAAATATAAGATCTTATTTATATTATTCTCTTGAAGAGAAATAAAGATTCTTTAAAAACTTATTTTATTACTCATTTCTGTGTATGTGTGAATGTAAGTGCACATGTGTTTAGGTAAATCTGGAGGCTAAAATAAGCTGTTGGATCCTCTGGGATTGTAGTAGTAGGTGGCTATGAGCCTCTCTACAGGGAAGCTGGGAACCAAATTCTAGGTCCTCTGAAAGAGCAGCACATGTTTTTAACCACTGAGCCATATCTCCAGCCTGAAATATAGGCTCCTAATCATGAATGTTTCATACCTAAATCACATTGGAAATAACAAGAACTGATTTTAACAACTATCTGAGAAAATCTTGACATTCTTGAGAACTGATTCTAATGTTTAATTTTGACGGCTCTTTGAACTCTATTATGAGTTCAAAAGCCTCAGAAAAAATTTTTGATTTATTTTATTCCAACACTTCGAAAGTCCTGAAATTATGTACTAACTTATTTGTAATACCTTTTCAGTTATAAGACAGGCTGAAGGCCAGTAATTCCTTTATCGCTTATTGCCTCTTTTCCAGAGGTATGATGTCACTTTCCTGGATAAGCAAAGGAGATTCTGTGAAATAAACCAAAATTAAATTGAATGAAAAGCTTGTCTAGATGGCTATCACCAGGGGCAAATTTCACATAGCCCTGTGCAAGTGTTTGTTTTTGTAATAGGAACTAAATGACTTGTAAAAATATATAGAGTACATAGAAAAGTGTGGGGCTCGTAGGTCTAGTACATAGTTCACACCACATCATCTGCTTTTTGTCATTTTCAAGAGGGCAATCCACAACAGCCTACATACATTAAATGTCTACATATATAGTAGTTCAATTTGGCAGAGTGTTTTCACATAGTTTGTAAACCCCTCCTGTTTGCTTAAATCATATGAGGAATAAAGTTACACAGAGAAAGAGATACATTACACATGACAATAAATCTCAAATATAAGGCATAAAACCTTCATTATACCAGAAACTTTACAAAACTGATGAGTAGAACTGAAGCCATTGACGTGCTGACCTTTCAAATATTAAGCAGGAATTAGAAA